CAACTCTTTTCTATCCTGTCCTAATGGTCTTGGAATCCTACAAATAGTATAAAAATAAACCTGAAAATGGCGCATATGGCAGTGAGTCGGTAGACATCTTGAACAAAAAAAAGGAACCATGAGCGAAACCATCATGCAGGAGGGTCCCTCATGATAAACACCCCCAAGTCCGTTAAAGGGACGATCGAAAGGTGTTGAAACCAGTCTCTCGTCCAGAACATCCTGCCCAACATCCAGTTTCTCAGCAAGGAAGAAAGCCGTCCGATTGTCATGTATCCAAGGGAAACGATGTGTGATGGCTGCAGATCATCAAAACCTGCCCAACACACCGGACACCGGTCGTTCGATGGAACAGCGCTCCGCCGCTCGGATGGAAGCTGCGCCTCCGAGCTTCTCGGATCTCCCGCGTCCGCGTCCGGCGGAATCCACACACATCGCCCGGTGGGATCGGTGGGGTTTCAGAACCCAGCCAAACATGGGACGCTGGGCTGAAAGAACGCAAACCCGGAACAACAAAAAGAAACTGGATTCTATTCATGGTCGCTTCCGGAAAATAAAATGTATAAATAATGGGAGGAAAAAAAACAGTTCGTCTATAGTTCGTCTATTCCCCGGTCTTGGGTCTTTCAAAAAGGCACCTTGTTCACATCCGACGAAACGCGTCCTTGTTCACGTCCAACTCGTGGAACTTCGCCTGTCGAACGCGGACGCGGGCCCTTGGTCACGGGTCCATCCGAGGTCCCTCCCCGTGGGTGGGTGGGTCTTCCCGGTGCGAATCCAGATGTTCCGGGGATGTGTTTCTTCCGTAAAAGGACCAATGAAACCGGTGTGTTTACTTGCGATCATATGATGAACCATTTACTATAGCCTTGTTCAAGGGTCCTGGAAGGCTAGGGTATTCATATATATATATATATTATCTCAATTTGCATGGGCAACCTCCTTGCAAATTCCAAGACCCTTGACCTTGGGACCCTTGGCTTTGGTGTCACGGCTACAGCCAATCAAGTGTCCAAACCTCACCCAGGAAAGAAAACATGAAACATGTCCAAACCGGCCTGTGGGTTCCTTGGTCTGAATTTGTGAACCATAATATTCTAGGGTCCGCACACCTCCTCAGAACTCTCTTGTGACATGCGCGCATACCTGAACGCTTCAACTTCACAGGCCCTTTGCCCAAAAACGCAGTAGGTACAGAGGGAGCGGTGTGCATGGACCATGCGACAGTATGCATCACATCATGTGGCATGCAATACATGTATGGAAGCCCTGTTCATGACACCAAATACTTACGAATGCTGGTTCTTGGGTAAGCCAAGAGAGGAACACATGCACATCGGTCAGCTGAAGTGGTCGAAAGCCAGCGTTGTAGGGGATGGTTGACTTTGTCAATTACACATCTACTTGGGGACATCTACTTGGGAAGGGATCAGGTATCGTATCAATGTTGCCTTTCTTGAGGTTATGAATGCGTGCTTGATATGATTTTCTGTTACAAACGGGATTCTGTCATGGATTGTATGGGAATCTGGGGTTGCACACGTCAAGGATGAATGGATGGGATATTGCGAAGTGTCTGCATGCTTTGAAGCATAGGCTTGGTAGGCCTTTGCTCCTTGCTTCTGATTTTTGGGTACAACTGGAGTCTGTGTGAATGCACTGCAGTGTTTATATGACGACTCTCGGTGTTTCTGATTGCCTTCGGAGGGATCGTGGCAGTTTCGTGGCGGTTTTGTTACTCTGGAGAGGTTCGATATCCCGCATCCATGAGGTGGTCGAATGGGCAACTGGGTGCCCCTCTGTATACATTTATATGTATAATATATATATATATGTGTGTGTGTGTTAATAATGTGTATGTATATATACATATATATGATATGTACATATAACATGAATGAGGTTGCGAGTTCTGTCCATGAGATGCCTCTGCTGACTCGTGCGGGTTTGGGATGGTCCAAATACCTTCTGAGAAGGTAGAACTGGAGCCCTAGGGACCTAGGGATAGTCATTTTGTGAATCTTCGTCGGGCGGAAAACCTCTTCTGCTTTGATCTCCCATTCCATGGTCGAAACGCTGCAGAAACGCTCTGGCTTTGCACGGCCCACCTTGATCTGGTTCTTGAGCTGTGTGCCCTTGCAGGCTGTGTTCTTGAGTGCACCCCTCTCCCAGACCCCTGGCCCTAGTTACCAATGGACCTAGCACAGGCAAAATGAAACATCAAACCTCACCGAAAGAAGTTTCTGGGGGTTCCCAGGCGCAACAATGACATCTGCACAGTGACCCTGTTTTTTTTGCGCCAAGCAGTGCCCTACTTCCCCCAAGTGCCCTACCTGCAAATGCGCATCAGGTTTGTATGGCACAACAGGGTCAAGAGTCTTTATGACACATCAGCCGGGTGAAGGAAAATGACGGTCCAACCGGGTCGACGGTCCAACCTGTGCAACGACCATGCCTCATTCTACCCATGTGTACGACCAGTGTTTCTTTTCAAACAATCCACCGGAGTGTTCTGTCAAAAAAGTGGGATACATATCTATATATATATATATTGTATTATATATTATATGTATTATTATGTATTATATATACACAGGACATGCCGCTCCATCTTTGATCTTAAGAAATCTTTGAGCTCCGAGTCGAGCTCCCCAAGATGGTTTTCAGGGTCCAGGTTTCCTTTTCAGCGGGGTTAACAGTTCTATCTACTTTGCGAATCAGACATTGAAGTCCTCCCGTGCTGCATACAGGTCGGAGAACACGGTATTTGGTCGCTCGAAACTACCAGCGAAGCATGGTATGATTGTCAGACATATATGAAGACCTCATTCTGAGATGGCCCCTACCAGGGCAGCAGGTCACGCTTCTCAGTGCATGACTTCGATCGTGCAAATGCGACTGAGACTTGTTCCGGTCCCGCGCAGGTCGGGTCCCGGTCGCTCGTGTTTCTTGGAAGCAGTAAGCTGCTGAGGGTTTCTACAAGACCCCTCCAAGAGCGAGCATGGACCAACGGCAAAACCTTGAACGTCCTTCATCTTGGCACCTCAGCGTCCAGTGTTTACAGGCATCCACCCAATCCAAGCCCCAAAGGCGACTCCCCAAAATGCCTGATAACCAGTGACCCAGTCCCCCCTTCACACCCCCAACCCCCCCGGGTTCTGCTCCCCAGTCCTTAAGGGACGTCGACCGATCCGGCTCCACAGGCGTCGGGCTCCTCGGGGTGTGGTACACGCCATGTGTAGCACACGAGCATGGTCACACCGTGTGGCCTCTCGCGGTTCATGGAAAACGACCCATGTGTTTTTTAAAAGAAAGGTAGGGAAAGGTCGTCTTTTCCCATGTCGCGCCATGTTGCACTTCCATGTTGGTGAGTCGGAGTGTTACGGTATGTCGTTCTAAAAGGTTTATATACTCCCCTGCAGATTAACATGAAACCCACAAACCACTCGGTTGCAGGGGAAAAAATGCTCTTCCACCGGTCAATTCTCAGGTTCCATGTTAGTTTGCGGCAGAGTACGTCGCTTTTTGTTCCTCCTTGTTCCAAGAAGTTGGGGGAATGTAGACGGTGTAGCCCTTTTTTTGAGCCACAAAGTCGCCAGTTGCTGTTTTACCCTCTCCTGCGAATTCTGTGAATCCAGTGGAAAAGGACACCAACACATACCCACACCTGGTGGTCATCATGAACTCTGGAGGTGTTCATCCAACAACCCATGCTTAGCTAGAACCAGAGTGATCCCAGGTTGGAAGCCCAAAATGGTTTCGTGTCCACACAAATGTCAAATGGGTTCTAATCGGTTCTGTATTGGCGGTACCCACCAGTAGACCCCCTTCATGACGACGCACAAGGGGCTCCTGGAAGAGCCCCGGGATCCGCCCTTGCTCCGGCTGCGGCCATCAATCGGCGGCAAGTTCAGCATGGCGCCAGGGTTCAGGGGCCGTCTAACTCTGTGGGGAACAGAAGTTCATGTCATCAGTGGGAACCTGGTCATGCTGATGAGTGAAAACCTCCATCGAAGAAGCCCAAATCCAAGCTGAGGACCAATTGGGATGTGATGGAGCAAAAAAGGTCTGCTCGTACAAACTCGTACAAATACATCCTCGCGAAATGAAGCACGCTTGGGCGGGGATCACTTGAAAATAATGGCCTCTTGATGCCTCTGCCCCGGGAATTGCGACAGTGCAAAAAGGATGGAACATCGCCTCTTCTCATGATGTCGCATGAAGCCTTGATGTCTGGGCTGCGACGGTGACCGCCTTGTGAGAGGTTCTGAAAGTATATACACCCTGGAAGACGATCCCATGGAACCTGAATTTTCTGGTTGGTATTCGGAAAATCGTCTTTCATGCGACGTCAGGGTCTATGTGAGTTTTTGGGACTTCCAAGTTCCAACCCTACACTTCCTGCTCACTGTCGGACCGATGTACCGATGTACCGGACCCCGACGTGGAGTCGCCTGGTACCGAAGGGGGTTGGTGTGGAGGAGCTGCCTAAGCTCCTGAATTCAACCATCGATTACTTGGAAAGAAGCTGTCCAGGCACGGAAAATCATTCAACAAGTCTTCCTGCAGAAAAAACTGCCTGAAGCAATGGCATTGCCCATTGGGGAGACACTTGTCTTGCCATGTCTTGCCAACTTGTGGTTTGGAGCGAATTGGAACTGCTGGCCATTGAGAAAGGCAGCTCTGGGGATGAAGCAAAGCAAAAAAAAACGTTGTATTCAGGATTTCTTCCGGCATGGCTCGTGGCCCACAGTACGTACACCCAAATAGAATCCCAAATACAGTAGCTGGGTCTGCAAAAAACAAAGCTGAATTCCACATCGGAGCCCAGGAATCTTGACTCGACATGATTCCTGATTCCTGTCTATTGACCTTTACAACCCCAGACCATCCATGCATGGAAGAGCTGCGTACACTTACCTTCGAACTTATTTACGACCCTAATGTTATTAACACACATGGGGTATCTAGGAACCCTCAAACCCTTTGCCCCCGGTGGCCTTTCCCTTTCACCACCGGTCCATGCGGATGCCTGGCGCAAAGGTGAAAACACATGACTCCCACATTCACAGCCGCTTCACACGGAGAATGAACCCATACAGTACAGTTGAAAATCCGACACTTGGGGATGTTGACTTTCAGATTACGGCACTACCATGGTTCGGAGCAACACCTGCGGGTGATGAATGGCAGGAACAATTGTTCTCCTCTGGACGCCCAAGATCATCTCCATGAGAAGAACACCGGGGCAAAGCGCTTCGCCTTCTGTTTCAGCGGACACAATTGGCTCTGGGTCGAAACCCGCAACCATTTCCATGGACTCTTCGCCAGAATCAACCTAGCAGCAGTCATTACCTGCCCAGTGGGAGAGGATAAGAGTATTCAGCTCCTCGTGGGAGGATGTTTGTTATGCTTTTTCCACCCCCCTTCTGATGATGCTCTTGTTCGAAGAGTCCGTTGCGAAAGAAAGAAAGAAAGAAAGAAAGAACCCCCCTTCTGAATCTATTCTTCCCAAATGCGAGCGCCTTGCCTGGAGTTCAAACCGAAGGGTGCCGGGTCGGCGCGGGATGCTTCGTGCTTCGTGCTTCGTGCCCAGCTGGTGCTTCGGTTCATGAACTTTTGAATATATAAGTCAGTCAATAAGAAGAACTGAACCAAGTCAAAAAAGTATTCTGAATAACTGAAGGGAAAATTCCAGCGACCAACGCTTCGACTTGTCGGCCCTTTTCGCGGTTCGATGGAACCCGTTTCTCCGAGGAACGTTGGTTTTTCGGCGCCTCTTGAGAGGAGGGAACTCGTGGAGGAAGTCCTGGGAGCTTTGTATGCGAACTGAGCGGAATGGGATCAAACCTGAGGAAGCCCCAGACCTTAGGTATATCCCATTCCCAACAACAGTGGCATGATGATGGTAGGTTGCAGACCTTTCTCAAAAATAGTGATAAATATTGCCACTGTTACAGGGAATTGGATACACCCTACATAGACCATGGGGGGAACTACAATGGCAACACATAGTATGTAGTATGTGACTGTGGAAAAAGTGCCCACGATCTAGGAATCTAGTAGTTGCCCGCAGCTGATACTATTGGAAAGCAAAGTTAGATAAACAAAAAATACCTACGAACTTGGAGACCAAAAACTCCTTTGAGCTCGATACCCCAACGACACAGGTTCATCCTGGGTGAACAGTTGGACAGGATCCGAATATATCGGAATGATCCAATGTGTTGGGATGGTTCTGGACTCGTGCTGCTTTGCCTGAGGTGCGCATCTGCACATTCGCCTCAGGAGGGACACAGGTTTTCCACCACTCGCTCTCCACAGTGACCAGGAAGATTCAACCTCTGACACACTCGGATGGATCGACCCACGCGAGCCGTTGCAGCCCAACCTCAAAGTACATGGTGCAACTCAAATTGTCGGAGCGCCATCTATATACCCTACCCAAAAGTCTCATTCAGGCATCAACCAATTGCTATTATGGATCCTCAACTGATGAGCTCTTCAAATATTGCGCCATCCACTTGGTTCGGTTTCAAAAGCTATCCTCCAACAAATACAGAAATGAGGCAATTGTAAGATCTGTCGGGGGGGCCCTTGTTCCACTTACACGTGTGTACGCGTGTGCGTATGGTCTGACTTCCGACAGCCTGAAGCTTTCTTGCGGCTCCTTGTAAAGTTTCTTGAGCTTTGGTCTTAATGTTCGTGCGCCCGTCTCTTGCTTGTCAGACGCCTGATGCGCGACGTTCGCTTCCGATATTCGGAAACTGGTCGGCTTGAGCTTCCTCAAAGAGAGACACAAGCATTCGCTTCCTTTGAGGACGTTGTCTTTGGCGGGACCCTGTGAAGATGTGAGCTGAGAAGGTCCATTCAATATTGAAGGTTGGCTCATTTGGGCACTTAGTGGTTGCCTCAAACTTGAGGACTTTGGGAAATTCTGCTGCAGAAAGATTTCATCCGGCGATCCTGGTTCTTCTGCGAAACAGGAGCATGTCATGAGATCAGCCTAATCAATCAGTCTTTGAATTCTTTGAGGTTATCCAAGTGTGAGAGGGGCGTTTAGCGTGCCATCATTCAATTGTCTCAAAGAGAAACCTGAAATGTGCGAATGGATAGTCTCCGAGTCTTGAGCAACCCACTACCCAAGGCAGTATGCAGGGAGACACGGTCAATAAATACTTTAAATACGTGCCGCCCAAAAAAAGAGTAAAAGCAAACTCTCCTTTCAAGCATTCATTTGCAGACAAAAAGAGGCGACTCTGGCCAGGCATGCTTGCACCAATGGCCCCAGGCCTCCCAAACAGGCACGACATTGTGGGCATCCACCTGCACTTCGACTGCAGCAGTTGGAAGTTTTCAAGCGGGACTCGCTTTGAAGATCTTAGAAGTATCAATCTGCGTCATGTCAAATATCCCTTGACCAATCACGACAAACGAGAAGTGTCGCAACTCCATGTGCGATGTGTCGGGGTTGGTTTCTGACACGCCAGTAGATCAACAGGTCTGGGAAAATGTAGAGTTACTGTAGCAGCAAGGGGTTGACCATGCTGCGCTCTCTTGTTCTGCAGGGGTTGAACTCACTAGGTGTAAATTGGCGGACCGGATCTCATATGCCTCTGATCTCATCACCTGCCTTTGACTAAAGACATCTAAAGACGAGCTTGTTCCAGGCAGATGAGCTGTCTTTGGGTGCTAGACTTATGACATAAAGCTGCCTGCTATGTCTGAAAAACCTTAAAATAGTTATTTTAGGAAAATAATAGGAATAAAATAGGAAAAAAATAGGAACTGGAAATAGGAAAATAAAGGACACAAAGAGGATGAGTCTCAAAAATAGGAAAAGAAAAGAGCTGGATTTAGAAATAGGAAAGGAAAAAAAGGAAAAGAATGGCAGCACTCTAGGACAGGAACATAAAATGGACCTAGCCCCAGTGGACCCAGGTCTGGCGGACCTAGCCCCAGGGTACCTAGGCCTAGCCCCGGTGGACCTAGGTCTAGCGCTAGCCCCAGTGGACCTAGGCCTAGCCCCGGTGGACCTGGCCTATTTTTCCTATTTTTCCTAATTTTTTCCTATTTTTTTCCTATTTTGTGGGGGTTTTGTGAAAATCTTCCTATTTTTTTCCTATTTTCAATTCCTATTTTTTCCTATTTTTTCCTAATTTTTCCTATTTTTTAAATTAAAAATAGAAAAAAATAGAAAAAAATTAGGAAAAACATGGGAAAAAAATAGCCCCCCCCCCAAATAGGAAAAAAATACGAAAAAAAATTAGGAAAAATAGCCCTCCGTGGACCTAGGTCTGGCGGACCTAGCCCCAGTGGACCTAGGCCTAGCCCCGGTGGACCTAGCCCCAGTGGACCTAGGTCGGTGGACCGAGGCAATGATCCTCTTTTATTCCTATTTTGTGTTGTCAGCCCTATTTTATTCCTATTTTGGGGTCCTATTTTATTCCTATTTTTTTCCTAAAAATAGATATTTTTGAACACTCCAGAGATAGCAATAGCTTTTTTTCATAATGCTAGACAAACTCGTGTGCACCACAAGATCATTCCAATTGAAAAAGAAAAAAAACTGCCAAAAGCACATGCCAGCACTTAGCACCTTTTCCTCATTTCAGTGCTATGCAGTGCTGTGGATGCTTCAATGACCACCAGCACAATCCTCTAACCTCGCTCCGTCTCGCAGAGCTACACAGGCTGGACTCAACTTCCATCCGCACCTGGATCAAGGGCACCTTCAGCTTCTTCAGCTCCTTCCCCACGCCTCGCATCATCCGGCGGGTGCGGGTGCGGCGTCCAGCTCCGTGGTCCGGGCGTGGTGGAGGTCCGGGACGGTGGTCTTGCGAAGGGGGGGGGTCCGATCTGAGTCAACCAAGATCTGGATTTGAGCCACAAAGGAGATCAAGATCTGTGTTGGGGTGGTTCCTTCTCTCCTGGTGTGACTGTGCCAAGTGTGGGTGGCCCTGGCACAGATTTGTGGTACAGTGGGTGCTTTACACTCTCTGAAACAATTATGGATGTGGAGAATGGCCCTTTGGAAGAACGGGGTTGTCCATTTCCATGATTGTTGCAGGGAGGGTAGCTGGCGGGTTTGCATATCATGCGCGCTGCAGGGGGAAGATGTATGTGTTCACGTCTCAAGTCTTGTTCAACCGACAGTGCAAAGAAAAAAACACACGCCTGCCACCCAAGCTCGGGGTACGCGCAGCGGTGACATATCGCACACCACGGCGTGCACAGGCCCTGGGGCAAATCGTCGTGTCGTCCCATCATCTGAGTGTGGTATTTGCCAAAGCCACCTGTGTCTAAGTCAGACAAATGGCCGTTGGCCCTACCTTGTTGAATTTGTGGGGCCAAAAAACGAAGAAAAAATCAGAGATCATTCTAAAGCCAAGAAAACTGGAGAGGAACTCTCATTTTTTGAAGTTCTCCGGAACCCAATGGCTTAGTAGTAGATCTGTCATGTGGGGGGGCCTTTGTTATGGAGTCGCTGGGCTGAATCCTAGGGAGAAGGTGACGATTCTAAACTTGAATGAAACTTCTTACTGACTATGCTGAGTGGTTGCATGGATCTGTCCCTTTCTGCCATCGGAATCGGAATCTGCAACTCACACAAACTATCTTTCATGACAGCTATGCACCACTCACCACATAAAATACTATGCACCACTGTGTGTGCTACGCACCTACCACATAAGAAAAAGATACTTACTTCGAGTGATCACCACCATGACACTTCAATCTGACAGATTTTCTGGCATGCATTGAAACATTACTTCGGCATTTTTTCTGGCATATCTTCTGACATTTCTGGCATATCTTCTGACATTTTTTCAGGCATGTTTTCTGGCATATCTCCTGACTTTTTTCTAGCATATCTTCTCAAGTTCTTTCATCTGACCTTCTTCCTGACATTATTTCCGGCATATCTTCTCCTGACATTTTTCTGGCATCTCTCTGACATTCATTGACATTCTATCTGGCATATCTTCAGACATTCTTTCTGGCATCTCTTTTGACATTCTTTCTGACATTCTATCTGATTTGTATATCTTCTGACATTCTTTCTGGCAGTCTTTCTGGTGTTCTATCTGGCATATCTTCTGACTCGCGGTTGAGGTCCGGCGGGGAACACTGCCATCCTGCACTTGCGGTTGAGGTCCGGCGGGGAACACTGCAATCTTGCACTTCCGGTTGAGGTCCGGAGGAGGAGGAGGAGAAGGAGGAGGAGAAGGAGGACGGCAGCTGACATAAAATCTAACAACCCTCACCTGACAGGTGGGGAAAAAAAGTAACCAACTCACTAAACTCGCTATGCACCATCACCACAACACACAGCTGAGGTCTTTCTCATCGGCAACGTCCACCACTGATCTGACGATTTCCCTGTATGTTCCGTCTGAACATGCTGCTGAAAGACATTGATAGACATTCTAGAGGCACTGAAATCCTTCCAAATACGATAAATCAAAAATGGTCTGGAGAGTTTGTGGATGATTGTCGTGACAGCGTAGGGTGATGGCCTGCATGGTGAGCATTCGGGTGAGGCCCGCCCCTTCCCCCAGCTCCAACTGCTGGCCTTTCTGCTTGATGGATCGGAGGAGTTTGGGCACTTCTTTCACGCTCTCGCCCTGGAGCACGGGGCTTTGAGCGGTACACAGACGGCGAGAAGGGGCACTCCATGACATGCTAACGGGAGAGAACACCCCAAGAATAGCACAGGTGCAGTGCCTTTTTGCGCACGTGAATCCTAGCTGCAATCTCCTCAAGTTAGTGACTAGGGGGGGCGGGTGTTGCGTTCAAGAATGTGTGGTCAGTGACAAAGGCAGCTGAGCCTTTCCCCTTCCGCGATTCGGGTTCAGCATACGCAACCAGGTGTCTGTTCCGATCGCTGTTAAATCTGCATTGGTGAGTCAACACCACAAAAGGGTCAAACCCAAGAACTAAGGTGTGAAGGCAGAGCAAGGTGGAGAGTCTCAGTGAGCGTTTATGATGAATCGGAATGTAAATCTTGCTGAAACAGCAAGGGGAGGCTGGAAAAAGACCATTTCAGAATCTCTAAGACACTTGTGCGAAAGAGAAACCTTGAAGTCGACATGGGAAAGGGTCCGACCTTGGGAATGATCGAAGGGGTCGGTGTCAGGTACAAATTACAGTATACCTGTGTATACCTATTGGTTGGTGGACGACCAGGGTATCCCCCTCTATTGATCAATCAACCAAAGGCCATCTATGCCACCAACTTGCCCGAAATCTTTCCAGAGATTTGCTGCACGACGCAGCAGGCAGGGCAGTCAAACTCCTGCTTCAACCCATGTTCCTTTCCCCACTGGTCTGGCGGTGTTTTTTGCCCCAAAAGGATCCAAAAGGGAACGGTGGTCTTTCCCCCATCTCACCCCGTCTTTGCCAATAAGACTCCAGCTGACCATCTGGATCTTGTCAAATGCAAACCAAAGAAATTGATGTTGCGCACGAACAATGAAGCCAAACTCCTGTGGATTAAATTTGAACAAAAAGGCATCAGGATGGGCTTAACATCGGCCGCAAACACCATCTCTGGTGGGAAAGCGTTGGCTGATCGACCCCACCTTCAAGAGGAGGAAGCCTCGTACATGGACGATGCTTTGGCCGTGAATGGACCACGGAATTCGAAGCTGCTTTTAGGTCTAAGAAAGGTGCTGGCAACATGATACCACAACTTTAGAAGCTTTGTGGGGAGAGTACCAACATTTACAAGCTTTCAGAAATGGTTGTTCAAGATTGTTTAAGAACAAAAGTAAGTCATGAACATGCAAACTTCTTCGACCAAAGAGCCCAAGCATCAGCAGTACTCCTGTTTCATCTCGCATGTGCTCTCCAGCTAGTGTACGAGATTCGCATGTCTGACCCGAACGTGCGATCCGTTTGCTCTACAAATCCACCCCTGGGCCTGTCTCCAAGTCCAATCTGCCACACAACTTCTCGTAGAGAATTCCTGGACCCAACCAATGCTAATTCCATCTAATTCCAAAAAGGATCCAAAAAACGTTCGAAAAAGGTCTATACCAGGAGTCACAGGACGTCGGGGTGGCCGGTTCCGAAGTCGTAAGTCGTTCGGACCACCTGTCTGTCCCACTGCACGGTCCCGAACGGAGGGGACGAGCCACACCACCTGTCACTCCAGGTGACTCCTGGTATATGGATCCCCCAAGTGTTGGACTCTGCGATCTCTGTGACCAAACCAAAGAAGGTGACAAGTCCGACTGAGGATGGCCAATTTCAAACCTTCCCAAAGAAAACTCCGACCAAGACCTATGAACTACATCCAACTAAGTAACTACCAGGAAGGTCAACCAATTTGCACCAATTACATGATTTGGATGATATAGAGAGGCGTTTACTTTGCTTCCCCCTCCCCACCATCCGAGCTCGGCCCGGCCAAAAGTCACTGCAGACCCGGCCCCCACGCGTAGATTCTCCGTCCCTGGGTGCTCGGGCCAATGTTCAAGCGCGAGAGCTCTTTGGAGGTCTCCTCCTTAAGCGAGCAAAGTCGGACCCCAGAATTCTGAAGATGTTTTGCCCGTCGCATCTCGATTCAAAGTCCAAAACCATCATCCAGCCACTTGAGCAAATCAGGAAGTTCCTTGAGTTCCTTCAGCTTGCTCCAGCCTGGAGGCGCCTTTTCGTGTCCTTCTTTTGGGTGTCGAGACGGTGACCGACGAAAACTGCGCCCCCCCGCCAGTCCACGGAGCATGAAGTCGAAGTGCCTCAAGGTGGCTCCCAAGAACCTTGGCCAGCGAGCGGTGAGAGGCAGGCGCCGGCCGGCGCATGTCGCGTGCAGTGCAAGTTCCCAAAAACACGGCGGGTGGGACGGAGATGACGAGGGTGGTCACCAAGAGGTGTGCGAAAAAAGGAATCAACAGCTGGGATCTGCGGTCTCTTCAGCTACAGTAGTGCGACGGGGAGCATGATCGTCCCCTGGAGGATCACGCCGATGGCGTCATGATCGTCTGCTGGTTACAACGATTCGCTGCGAATCTTCAAGGTGTTTGGGAGTGTCCTGACGATCACGCCATGGGTCATGGAACCTGGGCACCCCGGAACCCAACCCATGGTTTGGTGGACTTGGGTGCCATGATCCACCAGGTTTAGCTTCAGATCCACCAGGTTTAGCTTCAGATCCACCAGGTTTTTCAGATCGGTTTTTCAGATCCACCGGGTTTAGCTTCAGAAGGACAACCTCGTGACTTCATCTTATGACATCAGACGGTGGAAACCATAGGGGACCCAACCTACCAGGACCATCCTGCATGGGTCGGCTGGACTCTTTCCGTCCTTTGGGATCTCTAGACAGGACACCCAGATGGTCGGATGGTCCAGGTAGCTACAGAGGTTGGACCTTATAGGACTGTACTGGGGGACCCATAGGATAGCCTATGGGCTTTGTCAACCTCTGCTAGTAGCTATGGGTTTTGGCGTTTGCAGTCACACCCGTGACCATGTTCAAACGTTCGGAGGTGGCGGCATCACTTGCGACCAAGCAACTTGGGCACCAAGCAGAAGCACACCTGCAAGGACCTGTCCCACCGGTCAGCGAATCATCTGCAACGATGGGAGTTTCAATCAACGGGCAACACTTGACCTACACAACAGCGCCCAAATATTGATATGCTTAATTACAATTATACTTATATATAGATATTGTAATATATATATATATCTTTCTTGTGTTGCATATCAAAGGTCCCTCCTCATCCTCCTCACAGTGAGGCCATCCAAAACCACCGGAACCCGGTCGCAGTGGGATGTGGGTTCTCCAGAGAGACCCCCAGGCACGAGGATCAAGCAAAACCGGGGTCATATCGGTCAAATCTGGAACCACAAGTTTCACTCAGGAAATTCTGCCATGGTAACACCAGTTCAAGGCTAACGACTGCAAAGCTCATTCGTTTAAACTCCTACAAAAACTAGAATGACATGATGGCCAAAAAGCATCGCAGGGGTAAGATGTTTGAAAATGGAGATAATCTCCAAAATCAAAAGACAAATCGCCGAAAAGTATTTAAGTGCAAGATGCGATATGATGGCGGCGATGATGATGACTTGATGTGACTTGACTATGATAAGGAGAAAGAAAGGAGGCTGGAGTTGACAGCTGCTCTTACACTAATAAGACTATAAGCTTATTAAACATAACTTGTATATAGGATTTTTCACTGAACTTGACCAGTTTCCAAGATCCCGGGCGCGCGTCGTTCCAGGGCCAGCTCCTGAGTTTGGCGGACCCGGCCCGCTTGGAACCGTGGCGGTCCCGGACCGCGGTCCCGGACTCACGACTTGGATTTGCTGACTTCCGGAACCAGGAAGTCAAGTTCCTCATATTCCCCATTGGGTGTTTAGGGGATTCACCCGAACTGCGGGAAAGCATCAAATCAGCTGATTCGCAAAACCAGGTATATGTGATCGAGCATCTAAAAGGCCCCAGGCCTGCAGCAGTGTTCCCAAAAGGGTGCGATCTTGAGACACCGCTGTTTCCTTTCTCGAGCCGACCCCGGCGACGTCGCCAGAAGGTCACGTCACAGGTGTCAGAGAGTGGGGATCATCTACTGAACTGAGGGAACTGAAGAGTGATGGAAAGTGGATTGGAAGTGATGGACACTTCCACAGATTGACCCAAGAGTAGATGAAAACATATGAAAACCATCGGACGTTGCTTCTGCCTGTGTCAATCGAGTACTGGGTCCGAGTAGGGCCGAGACGTACCTCGGTCCAAAGAACTGTGCTTCTCATGTTCACTTCTTCGTTTGGTCCACCACCATCCCAGGTCCACCGCAGTGCCCACCGACCGGACCGGGGCACACCGACACCGAGAGTCCGCGCGTCCACCGTCGTCCGCGTCGTCCGCGTCGTCCTGTGCTTTCAGCAGCGCCCAGTTGTCGTGGGCGCGTTGATCGCGGGACCTCGCGCTCCGTGGGTTCCACGGAAGGGAGGCGGGATCCGACGGCGTTGGTGGGGAGCGAAAAAAGGAAGGTTCGGTTTACTGGACGGGCCTCCCCAATCGGGTCATATATAGTCAGACCAACTGTCAGACCAGCTTTAAAATGGTCTTGGATTCCCAGAAAAGACATCGTTGGACTACAGATGCCTTTCTGGTCCACACGAAGATCTTTTCAGGTCCGGCCGCTGCCGGCGACTTGAAACCACTGAGTTCCCCGACATCCAGTAGAGCACGCTGCCACCTCTACGCCCCTCCTGAGCAGTTGACTTCTCCCAATGAGCTCGTTCGAGCTCGACACCGCGGAGCTCGTCGAAACCGCGCGGACCTCGCCTCCAACGGCACGCCATTGATGTCCCGGCAGCGGCGGGCGTGCACCGGCATTCGGCGGCGCGTGGCGGCACGTGGCGGCGCCGGCGAGCGCCGCGTGGCGAAACGTGGGGTTAGGGGGCACGTGGCTCGTGGCGGGCCATGGACTGAATGGGCAACGGTTGTTCCTTTCTCGTATTAAAAGAAGAACAAATGTGTCGTGATTCTCAACAGGTGTCGGTTATAATGGTCATAGGGAATCCACTTGTCCTATGTGAATGGCATTGTTGGGTGGTTCACTTTGGATGAAGGCTAGGAGGTCTTGGAACATTGTGGGTCATCAACCAGGCCATGCTAAACTCGCACATCACTCAACTACCGCCGGTGTCTCTGGCAGCTTGTTGCTCATATGTTTCAAGATCAACAGGCCAGCTACCAAGTGAAGCTGCAGATCTCACTGTCCAGTCCTTCTTGGACGCACTCAACCAGTAATTGGCACTGACAAAGTCCGGACTCTCTTGCGAAGTCGATCCCAGACCTCGGACCTCGGACCTCGACCACGAGGTCGTCGGTCGACCGTCTCGTGGCGCGGGGATGTGGCGCCGTTCGACGGTCCTTTTTCGCCGATGTCGTCCTGGTCTCTTGGGCCTGGACGCCCCACACTCAACTGGTATGTAGGGGGGGCCTGGAAACTGCCCCAGGTGAGCCGCGAAAGGGGCGGAGAAGTGGCGAGCTCTCTCGAGCTCGCGGTCGACTTCAAAGACATGACAAGCCAAGTGCCCCTGGCTTGCTGAAGCGGTCACTGTGTATAGAGATGAATCATAAGTCTCTAACCCACTCAATAGCTCACCGAGGCAGCACCAAGTTCAGCAGGAGAGCGGTCATTGTGTTGGCAGCCAGATGCTAGGCATCCAGGAGGAACTAAATGCGAACATTCCCTGACATTCCTGTCCGACCCCAATCGATTTACTTGGCAATCCCAATCTACCCGCGATGCCCAGCGCAACTCAGACAAATCCTGGTGCGTGTTCGTTCTTAGCCTCGGCTACAGCAGCTACACCACTCATTGGACAGCCTCCTCACTAGAATCCCAAGTCAGACACCGAATCAGTGCTGGGGGTTCTTCCCAAACCTCGACCTGACCCCATGGCGAGGCCGCGAGGCCCGGAGATGCCCCGGGCGGCTTCAGACGGAGTTCACTCGCCGGGTCACGTGACGGGTCACCTCTGTTCCCCAAAGTCGTGCCCTACAGGTCGTGCCCTACAGTCCTCACGGTCCTAACATCGCTGCCATGTCTTACGCAACTTTGACTCGGACCAAGTAGTCCTCGAGGCTTTGCGAAGTGAGTGTTTGAAAAAAATGGTTTAAAGAAATCGTTTCAGGAACCTAATAGCGATGGCCTCCAACCTAAGAGCGATGGCGATCATCATTTCGGCAAACTCCAAGATGGCGACTTACCGGCTGTACTCGGCAAGGGATGGTTGCAACTCTCTGCAAGAGACCATCTTGAAGATGTTTTTCTCTGGTGTGGGAACTTGCCGTTGATCTGGGTGTGAATTTGCTTGCACAAAAAATGGATTATGCGTGTGGCATCATGCTGATGAGTATCTCCCTATCGTGTATATATATATATATTATATATTATACATAACCGTATAGAAATGCATAGAACCAGTCTGAGGTGAAGATCCTCCACTTGCGATGAACAAACAAATTGTCATCCCCACCGATGCGAGCTGGGGAATGACCCAGCAAACACCTACCAAAGGCGTGTCGCGAAAACCTACGGTCGCTTGGAGGCTCGGAAGCAAAGCCAAGAAGTGAACTGCGACTTGCAGCTGGGTCCGAGATTTGAGCCCTATCAACAGCACAGAGATGATGAATCGGCTGCAACTGGCCTTGCTGAGGTTTCATCACCAAAAATGGGTTCACTCTTGAGGATGCCCAGGTCTCCACAGGTGATCAACCAAGGCTGGCTAGCTGCGCGGCTGCGCCTGTCTCAGGCAGTAAAGATGTGAGTTGTACCCTGCACAACAGGAGTTCGGCCCACTGGAGTTGTACCTATGACTACGTTCGGCCCAAAGGAGTTGTACAAAGGACATGTGCAGTCAGAGTCCTTGAACAAACGCCCAAAGAACTGTCACAGGCAACAGGAGTTACTTGAAGCACTGGACTAATTGCCTGCAATCCCATCCCTGAAAACACATGTGCGTGTGTGTGTGTGTGTTTCAATACAGAGACCCCCAACGAATGGGTAGACTGGTCTACTTCCCTTCTTCCAGGGGGGGTCGAACTGGGAGGCCTCCCTATTATAATACAAATCCAGCTGGTCTGGCCAGTTGCCATTCATATCCATTCATCTATTCCAAGTGATTCAGAGATGTTCAGCAAGAAAATTCCATCATCTCTGATATGACCTGCGAAACGCCCCACCGGGATGAACAAGGGAACGACCGAATCGCAACTGAGGACAATGGACTGCTCTGCCAAGTTTGGAGGTTGCAATCTTTCCCATGGCCTTGAGGCTTACCCTCAGTTGAAAAAAAAGCAAACCGAAAATATGGTAGAAGTCCTTTACTTGGTGGAATAAAATCATCTTCCAAACCACTGTGCCTGTGGCAGAATCCAAAGTCGCATCGGAAGCGCTGGGTCATCCTTCCCTGTCTACATTGATCCACGGCAAGGGTTGAGGTCGAACAAATCTACGATGCGGAGGGACCACGCCAAAATACTGCGGCAGCGCTGCTGGCATCTATGCAATCTTCAATCCATGAATCCAAATAATGAATCCCAGAACTGAGAAGGGCCTCTGATTTATTTCGTTCGGTTGCGAGTATGCAAAATGTAGAACTTGCAAAAGGTTCAGTTCTTGTGCTTGGGAAGATGTAGGCTTCCATGCCATCGTTGTGCCCTCCAAGGCTAGGTTACTCGTGCCGCTATATGAAGGGAGTACCCAAAATGTCGGTATTTGGACCCTCCAACCCCACCCCAAACACCGAAGCTCAGCAAGTACTTGGAGCCCTAGTGATATGAAGGGAGTACCAAAAAAGGTCGGTTGCCGAAGACTCAAACCTACAGGAACAGGAACCGATCACGGAAAAAACCCTCCACGTTTGATCGACTCGACGTGCTTTTTCTTCGGGCTCGGGAAGGGCTCGGAGCGGATGCGTTTCGGTGTTCGAAGGATGACCTACACTCAGCCCATGTGTGTTTGCACCAATTGAATGCACCAAACCATCATAAAATCACACAAACTACTTTGCGCACGAGGACCGTAGTACAGGCCCGAGTCCTCGTGAGCAAAGTAATTACCTTGTGTGTTTTGGGGTATAACCTTCTTGACCAAGCTTACTCAGGCATCCCATTGGTCTTCCATGCTTCTCACTCAAGGCACAAAGACTCTGTCTATCACTCTCATACTGGGGAGAGCCAAAACCGAACAACCCCTTTGGACGTGCAACAGGCAGCCGAACCATCTGTACATTTGTGCTCTCTATTCCTTCCAAAAACAGCACAGATCCCCCAGGTTGCCTCCCTCTATGTGTCGTATGGAAGTGGAAAACCATGGTTTTCCCACGACCTGTTTTGGACATGAGGATTTCATGCTCATCCGAGTCGAACTCGGGGCCGGTGCCATCCACGTTAACCCACCACGCTTGAGTTGTTGGACTTCGTGACTGTGCGGATTTGGACGTCAAGATTCAGTCCACGGGCGTCCAATCGGTTTTTGAAAGGAATTGCTGAAGACGGCCAAAGCAGTTGCTGAAAGCTCGATATTCCAAACTCAATCGATCACAAGCCTTTCGTTATACATCCATCATACCTCTGCCAGGCGCTCAAGGTCCAAGAGGTCTAGCCAGGCAACGGTGGTTGAGAGACTCGTCGTGCCGCAAAAGGTGTGGAGAATGCAAGCACTTCGTTCATTCGTTCATTGGTCTTGTGTCAAAGATTGTGTCCTTCAGAGCCTTGGCCAAAGCCTGGTATATTAGACTGGCCGGTAGAAACTGCTTGGGGTGCCCAAAATGGCTTCAACATGAGGAAACATATCTCAGCGATGTCAAAATCAGCATGACGCACATGTCAAGAGTACGGTGGCTTCACGACATGCGAGACTTGGATAGGCACGCCGCCGAGCAGGGGGTTACTTTCTGGGTTTCCTCAGATCAAACAAGCTATGGTCCGCAATGGTAAGCGACGTCCAGTCATTCTTCAAAGGGTGGGCCAGCATTGTGGGCCAAAGAACACATGAACTGCAGCGGGTCGGCCGTCGGCCTCCAATTCCATCGACAAAGTCCCCAAGAATGACCCCAGGTTGCGGAGAAAATGCATGAAATCAGCTGGTGCTAAGAAAAATCTAAGGCTTATTGGGACCCACCTACCAGGTGAGGTGCCAATCCAGGTCCGCCAGCCCTCGGTGCCCACCGACACTCAGCTCCTGCGGCTTGAGTGTTTGCAGCAAATTAGGAGCCACAGTCAATGTGTTTTTCCATCTTTGAGGTCTGAGTAGATGTTCATCCGAGCTAACCATGAGATTAGTGGAACATCCTTCGAGATCTGCGAACGATGTGCACCCCAAGCAACAGTCATTGCTTGTTTTGCGCTCTTTTTTCACTAGCCTGGCGTGTCTGTATCCATGAGACAGCTTGGTGTCTGCTTCTCTGTGCAGGCCCAAAACATGCCCTGCAGAGATCCACATTCGTGCACTCCTGGTTTGAAGGGATGTGATGATTTGAGTCATTGGGAACTCAGATTCTATCCTGTCGGCAGTACATGACAGGTCCAATTTGTTAACATTGCGCTTTACATGTGTTTGGCGTTCAAATGCTTTTTTCTCAAGGCACGTCGTTTGAACGCATTCGCAGGTTGCTAGAGCTCGAAAGCTCACCAAAATCTGAGCTCTATACTGGTTTTGGAGTGTGGAACTCTAATGGATCGCATTGATCACTCTGCGATCTCTAGATCTATATTGAATCTCTTCAGATCGGGCTCAAAATCTGCTGCATCGGACCGAAATCGGCTCAAGATGGCCCTCCAAGTGCGTGGAACTCGCTGCAGAGACGACGCTCCAGTAGATGTTGAAACGGTTCAAGCAAGAATACATGAGGGCAGAGCTCGACCAAAGAGTATACCAACCTCCCAAGATGGAAGTTGACGCATTCAGAAGGCTTTCTGTCGATTTCTGTGCTTCGTGGCCCATACAGACTGGGAGTTCCCCCGTGCACAGCCCCTGCGGAGACTGATCGCCCCCGGGTGATCTGGCGCGGCACGGAGAATGACCACCCCAAATCAACAAGAGAACAAAAGCAATCATCTGGTGCGAATTCTTGGTGTAGACTCTTGATGAATCAAAACCCCCCCAGGCCTTTTCAGAGGTTTTACCATCCAAGTCTCAGGGTTTTTTCTGAATCAAGAGTCTGCAGTATCGTGGGGTCTATTGTTTTTCACTGTAGCATGTCTCGGACGGGTTTGGGGATGTTGCACTGAAGCAAGGTATGAGATCAAGCCGCAGTGATGGGATTCTGCCTGCTCCAAAAGTGAACTTTGGAGAAACTCACACTCCATGAAACTCGGTACTTTTCGAGGTTAAAACATGGGCCTCCCTGCAAGTTCCTCGGAAAACAGAATGTGTGAAAACTGGGAGGCCAAGGTTGATTGAAAGCAGCTGTTGCCAACTCAGGAACTCTAGAGTGAGGATGGCTTTTCACCAGTTGAGCTGCCGTCTTCGGCTTGAGCTTCTTTCACAAACAGACTCGCAGGTGACGATGTTTCGTCTCCCACAAAAATAAGATTACTTTCTTATCAGGGAGGATTTCACAGTGAAGGCATCTACTGGTTTGTCTCCGACTCGAGTCTCAGACTTTCTCGGAACACGGATGCGCGCATGAGCGGCGCCGCTTTCACCACAAGCTGGAACTCGAGTGGATATTTCGGAATCATACTAGGGCAAGAGGCGAAAGAGATGCAGGTTCGATTTGCCACAGGCGCAGACGCTCATGTCGACCTAATCTATGGCGAATTCGAGCACAGCAGTGGCCACGCACCTTTCTCGCTTTGGCTCATGCCTCTCGGATGCTGCCTCTCCAAGGAGCAAGCGCCCAAAAATTGTCCTCCCTATGATCACCAACCACCCAGAAAGGATTGGCAGTTGCTTTGCGGAACTTGGCAGTTGATTCGTGGGAACCTTTCAGGAACCTTTGGTACTTAATCCCTTTGGGCCACCACCAGCCCACCAGCATGCCCTACCATGGATCATTCCAAGTGGAGCACCCCCGTCGATCATCCGGTTTCGGGCTTTTTCACCCTGACGTTCAGTAGCAAGCTGCCAAACGGAGGGGAACTGAAGAGAGCGTGCATGAAAAGCCATTATATAGTCAGAAGAAAGGCTATCCTCCGCCCCTTTCAAATCTTTCAACTAGGGCGGCATGGACAAAACCTTTCATGATAAAGGACATTCCGTCAATCTTCTCAATTTCTGATTTTCCAGATTATGGGATGTTGATCTTCACGACCCGCTACACAGCAACATGTGCTTTCCCGAGATGGCACGGGTCGCGCCTTACTCAGAGAAGTACGAGGAGTGACGCTGCCCACTGTTCTGCTCATCAGGCACAGGAAAGTCTGTGACACAAGGCACGGGATTGGTCCTGGCACCATCCGGCGGATGAGAGAATGGGAAAGAGAACTGGATGCATTCCGTGAGGGAATGGATTGGACAATGTGTTCGGAACCAAGTAGCAATCAGCACAGCTTCGGTCTGGACAGTAATACCTTCCAACTGAAAGATTGACCCACATAGAGGACCTCGTGGCAAACAAGGTTCACTGGACCATTAGACCCCTCAGATCGAAAAGTCAAATCCATTCTCAATATATATATAATATATGTTTGTTTGGGGACCACTATACGGGTCATGGAAGGCCATGTCATGTGCGCCCCTAGTAGAACTCCCAAACCCAGAGTATTCCCGACGTTCTTTGCAATGCGGAAGAGCTGGGCTGGAAACGTGCGGAAGAGCTAGCTCTATCATCACCGGCAAAAAACAATTCCTATCACCAACAGGTTCTAATGAACCAAATCAGTACTTGAGTAAACAACTACTGTCAAATGTCATGGTTCAACTAGAAGAATTTGGCTCACCAGTATGATGCCTTCCTAAAGCTAGCATAGAAGCTGAGAGACAGCCCGCACGGACACAAAATATGTCCTGAGTGTGTATGCTTTGATCGATCCCCGTCGTGGTTTCTTGGCAAGTATTTCATCCACATCTTGTTCGATGGAGTGGCTGGAAGATGGTGTTCCTATGTGTTCCTCTTCCTAACAGAAGTTCCTTTCAACCATGTTCACATGAATATTCGTTGGAGTGTACATCATCCAACTGCAACCCCTAGCCACCTCTGCTGACTTCCAGCGCCCCAGGCACCGCGAAACATGACACCAGCGCTTCCCCCGCCTCGAGGCTTTACAGCAGGAGGACGGCGAGGACGGCGCCTTCAGCGGCTGCCCGGCACCTGCGAAAACACTGTGTTTGTGTGACTTGTTCTGACTGCAAAGAATATCAGACATGCAAAAACATGGAAAGTTTTACTGCTGACATGAATGGGATGTAGCTCCAAGATCTTTGTGTTCGAGTTGGGGACTTCTTTGCGATCCAACGTGTGAAAATCCACAGAACGTCATAACCCAAGGTGCGAGGGGGTGATCCGTTCGACGCAAGTCCTCCGAGTCGAAGGCAGGTCGTGCGGGGGACACGGATCGCGGATCGGTGGGTGTCGGCAGATCCGGGCTCCTTGCGACAAGCGACTTGGCCACCCACCTTGGGCTCCATCTGACGGGGCTCGGGCTGGAGGTATTTACGAAAGTACCAGGATCCAGCTCGGGCTTGGCAGCGGGGGGTAGGCTCCGGATTCTCTCAATTCATTCATGTGTGAACCGGGGTGGATTCATACTGAGGATTGCGCCTATCACTTCCCAAGAGAGGGCTCAATGAGCAAACTCAATAATCTGCCCCGGCCATGGAAAGAAACAGGGCGCAACTTGCAAAACGCGCTTCGCAGAGAGAATGGGCGCATTGACAAAGGTTGATAAAGAATGAAAAAACGGTGGAAAGAATAGAGAGCGGGCAGTTGTGGCAGTGCGTTTTTTTGTCCATTTGCTATGACAAATGGACTATTTATAATAATTTTTTAGTTAATTCTAATTCAGTTCTAATTCAATTCTACATGCATGCTAATGCAATGTTCTTTCAGATTCAATATTAATTTAGAGCTTTAAAAATTTAGTTCAAATCCAAACTATATAACTCCAGTTTGTTAAAATGGAATTTAAAAACAGTTTTCATTCTAATTTAATTCTTGTTTAAGGTTGTTTAACTCAAGTTTGATTCTTGGTCTACTAGCTTAATTCCAGAGTGCAGGTGTTGCTGGGGGTGTGAGTTTATGACAGAAAGCTATAAAACAATCTGTTTTGCCGTGTTTTTTGCCCTGGGAGTGCTGGGAACTAAGTCAAAACACTGCTTTTGAGTAGGCAGATAGACTTGTTCAAGTAATATCTTGAATGATCATCTCTATATCAAGAAGGCTCTGTATAAAAGTGTCTATGCCAAAGGTTTTCCTCCAGATCTCTGGAATTATGACTTCTATAACAAGATAATTGAAGCTGCTTATTCAAGAGTTGTCCTCTTGGTCCCTGGAAATGGTTTTTTACATTTGAAAGCGCATCCCTTTTATGGAACACATAAATCCAGTCCCCATGGGACAAAACCAAAATCACCTTGAGAAAGCAGAAATATACATATACATATCTATAGTTTAGTTTATTTATGAGAGTCCTGACGACTGAACCCTCCCACAGAGGACAAACGTCTGAAACATGTTTTTGGGTGTGTGTTTTAGTTCGTTTTCTTCTAGAACTGCCCACAAAGTGCAGAATCTTTTGCAGAGTGCACTCCTGGCAGTGTAGTTTTATTGACAAAGGTTAACAAAGTGCCCTCCTCGCAGTAGTGTAGTGGCCTTGACAAACCATAACGGGGTGCCCTCCTGGCAGCGCAGTTTTCTCGACACAGCCCCCAGAGGGAACCTCTGAAAAAAAAAACTTTTTTTTTGGGGGGGGGGGGTCTTTTTTTGGTTGTTTTTTGGTATTTGTCCGCAGGGTCCAAAATGTTCCACAGAGCGCTCTCCTGGTAGTGCAGCTTTCTTGACAAATGTTAAGTTTTCTCGCACGTTTGTGTTCTTTTGAGTCAACGGGTTCTGTTTTTGTTTTCTATTTTTTGTTTTTTGCTTTTCAATTTTTTGACATATGTTGTCAATTGGTCAGGCTTTCCTGCTGGATGCAATTGTTATACAGCCATTTTTGGCAATGCAATTTTCTTGGCAATTGTTGACTCATAAGAACAAGTTGGCAAGAAAACTGCACTGCCAGGAGTGCCCGTTATGAAAGAGTAGAATGCCTGTAGCGAGGCGAATGTCCTAAAAAGAGGCAAGGGAAGAAGAAGAAGAAGGGATTAGAATGCCGGTAGCCAACAGGCCGTCCTAAAAAAAGAAAGCAAAAAGCAAAAAGAAGACATCAAAGTCAAAGCCAAGACAAAAATCATAGAGAAACATGGGCTGATCACGGGTTCACAAAAATAGGCTGAGCATCGCAAATTTTTTCGCCGTCAGCACATGGACGAGAGCGCCATGCACGAATTAGGAGCGTCTTCGCTCCGCGTTGCGGACGTCGGCTTGGGGGATGATGTCGGTTATCGACAACTCAACCAATCGCACCAAGCCTGCGCGGGAAAGCGAGCATCGAAAGAAAATCAAAACAGAACAGAAACACAGTGACAATGATAGAAAGTTAGCCTTCGGTTGAATGTCTGTGCACGTTTCGTCCTGAAAACCCCGTGCCTCCAGCCGCCGAATGCGCCATTCTAAATCATCCTCGCCCTCAGCGGAGTACAAGTCATTGCCTCAGGACACGTTGCGCTAACACGAAGCCATTCAAACGAATTTCACTTTGCCGTTGATAGTGCATTATTTTCAGCCAAGCAGCCTGCAACCACGAGGGCGATCTCGTCGCTGCGACGCGGGGCTTTCGACCATAGGTGCCTCCAAAATGCGTCGTTCGAGAAGCCTTTCCCCTCCCACGCAGGGTAGACAGGCAACCCGAGCGACGCTCCGGCCATGGCACCGTCATCGAGAACCATGTCGGGACTCAGCTCCTGGAGAAAACGATGCTTTGCTTGTAACAAATGGTTTACGCTGCCTGAGTTTTCAATCCCTTTCCAGCCTCCATCAATGGGGTTAGGAACCCCGCGAGCGACGACCCCTTTAGGCTTCAAGTGATAGCCGTCGATGTAGAACGGCATTTCTGCAACAAGAACTCAGCAAGCAATGCTCACCAGAGAGAAAAATGAGTTTGTACTTGGGCGTTTTCAGAGCGCGTTCACGTCGGTCCTGGGATCTGGGCAATCTCGAGGATCTCCGCTGCCATTTTGCAGCGTGCCCGGGCATGATCTCTGATCACCTGAGACGTTTCGCGCTCACCAGTGCACACGCACAAACGCATCAAAGGTACTATCACATCAAACGCATCCAAGGTACTTGATAAGCCGGCATCGTTCGTGAGGCGGGCGCGATGCTCTGGTGGACTTCGCTAATGCTCGGGATTTAAGGCTGCGTCGATCGCGTGACGCGGTTTCCATTCAGCAGTGATTTCCCTAATCACGGATGTACCTTCACCGGTGTTCACGCGCGAATATCGCGAAGGTCGGCATGTTTCTTTTCCAGGATCGAGTTTCGCATCGCCGCGGCCTCTAAATCACCCAGCGACCGAGCGGTCAGCAGATTCAGCCGTACATATAAAATGGAACCACGGCAACGGCCATAACAATAACAACTCACCAATGAAAACTTCAAAAAACTGTACTATGCTTTTTCAGCGTGCGTTCAGGTCAGTCCTGGAATCTGAGCAATCTCGAGGATCCTCGCTGCCGTTTTGCAGCGTGCTCGAGCATGATGCCTGATCACCCGAGACGTTTCGCGCTCACCAGTGCACACAGTGGAGTGGAGTGGAGTGGAGTGGAGTGGAGTGGAGTGGAGTGGAATGGAGTGGAGTGGAGTGGAGTGGAGTGGAGTGGAGTGGAGTGGAGTGAGTGGGAGAGCGCGAGTGTGAGTGAGAGTGAGAGTGGGAGAGTCAGTGAGTGTGAACGCGAGTGTGAGTGAGTGAGTGAGTGTGAGTGAGAGTGAGTGTGGGTGAGAGTGAGTGTGGGTGAGAGTGTGAGGGAGTGTGAGTGTGAGTGAGTGGGAGGGAGTGTGAGCGTGAGTGAGAGTGGGAGAGTAAGTGAGCGTGAGCGCGAGTGTGAGTGAGTGTGAGCGCGAGTGTGAGTGAGAGTGTGAGTGTGACTGTGAATGTGAGTGAGTGTGAGTGTGAATGTGAGTGTGAGTGAAGAGTGAGTGTGTGTGTGAGCATGTGAGAGTGAGGGAGTGAGAGAGTGAGCACGCACAAAGTGCTGTACCTGCACACGAAATCTAGAGGTTCACAAAGTGCTGTGCCTGCCACGAAATCTGCACTTTGAGGCTCACCAGTGCTGTGCCTGCCACGAAATCTGCACGTTGAGGTTCACCAAGCGCTGTGCCTGCCACGAAATCTACACATCGAGGGTCACAGAGTGCTGTGCCTGCCACGAAATCTGCACATCGAGGGTCACAGTGCTGCAACTGCCACAAAATCTGCACATCGAGGGTCACAGAGTGCTGCGCCTGCCACTCGAGGGTCACAGAGTGCTGTGCCTGCCACGAAATCTGCAATCGAGCCACATGTCCAAAAGTAACAGTTCACTGCACCTGTCACAAAATCTGAGCACCACCACGTCCAAAGTGCTGCACCTGCCACGAAAAGTGAAAAGTGCATTTCGAAGTCAAACACCTCCGATCCCTTGCACCTGTCACGAAAAGTCGACTTTGGAGCACCAACACACGAGGTTTCCCTTGCGCCTGATCACCATGTGCGAAAATGCGCACGGCGCCACAACGAGAGCGCAGTCGTTAGAAGCACCCGCTGCGGACACCCAGATTTTGCGAGCCTACGCAGTCGAAAAGCACATTGACGATGTCGAGAGGCATGAATGTACTGTAACTAGCAATGAATTAGTCGTTCATGCCGGTGCGCTTCAGCGATCTAAGCATCAGCTGCTTTTCTATTACCGTAAGAACCCCTAGTGTGTCCACACAGTTTGGGGAATAATAGAGTCACCATGGCAACAGCAAGCACCATAACAAGTTCCTAGGGCTCATCAGCTGACAAGTTCTCAGCCCAGATGAGCTATTTCATGGCACGGCGTTGGCTTTCAGCATGTTCCGCTTAGGCCCCCGGTGGGCTCAACTAGTTTACAGGTTTGAAAGAAGGGATCATCCGGTGAATCGTCGCCACCAACTGTAAATCTCTACACTGGACTTCACTCCTGCCCTTAAATTGTGCACAGATATTTGCGTCCGCAAAGATCTGTGTGATAGCGGCACTTGCAGCTGAATCTAAAACTTCAATAGCTTCCCGACTCATGCTGTAGCCTTCGGGCAATGCACTTTTGCAGAGCTGAGTGAAACCTTCCTTCGTCCAGAACTCCGGATTGGAAGAGGAGTGGAGGAAGCCTCCCTAGTGTTTGGAGGCTGGTGAGATGTTGGGAGTCAAATCCTCCATTTTCAGGAGTGGACTCACTGATAGCATCGTCTCAGACCCCGCCCCACCGGGGCAGAAGAAGCTGGTCTGTTGCAAAAGGGGTCCGGTATCTTCAGAAGAAGGGACAAGGGATGATGAGGGATCATCAGATGGATCGTCTGTTGATAAGGAATAGACTTCTCATCTCTATCTACTTGGGAGGGGGAACACAGGTCACTCTATGAACTTTCGCCGTCCGCATTCAACATGGGCATCTTCGAGTGAAAAGAATTCACGTAGACTCTTGATTGACCCCCGGCCCATTTGGATTGGAAAAACCCTTGTTTCCCTTTAATGAATCAAGAGTCTACATGACAACATCCAATCCAGCACCCGACTCTACAGGTCTCCTTGTTCGAGGGTTGGGCCCTAGGTCGGCGACTGGTGAAGTCCAGTGGATGTGACCACGGATCTATCGCAATGATCGGTCTTCTGCGTGTTCGTCCACGAACAAGGCGTGACCCGGCGTGTCCGTCTGGGTCCACGGTGGACCAGGTGGACCAGTTTTGAGGAAAAAAAACCGCGGGGTGTTCACCCTGGTGAAGCTACCAGTGAACCAGGTCTCTGGGCTTTGACGAACACAAATCATTTCTCCATCTTCCTCCTGAGCAGTTTGGACAGGTGAAAACCTGCTCCGTCGCTCCAAAGCACTGCAGTAAGTGGACAGAACCTGCCGCTGCAGGGACCTCCTTGGGGATGGTGGGAGATAGTCCCCAAGGACTATTCGATGCCGAACCGGGTCCAAACTAGCCCGTCGGCCTGATCTGGCTCCACCAGCAGTGCGCCTAGAACGGAGTGTTCGGGGCAGCCAGCGGGTCTGACAGACCTCTTTCTCTCCCAAAACCGGAAGTTCTCAAGCTTGAAGCGCGTCTCCCACCGTACCACTGCTAGCTGCTAGACAAGGAGAATCTTCTGCTGCAAGCAGATGCGTCTTTTTTCTCAGTAAGAGCCATGAACACACTGCTGCCCTCAAAGACTACACTCCGACTCAGTCGAATGGAGCAGAAGGTGATTACAGTAGGTGTTTCAAGAGGACAATGGTCTTCCCCGGCGCCGCGCCATGCACTTGCTTACATGTGTTTGTCGGAGGGTACTTCCTCTGGATTAGGAGTGGGCCTTTCATATCCATATGCAGCTCCCCAAGAAGCAGTTCTTCACACAAACAAAAAAAAGGACAGTTGACAATCCCCTGTTGCGAAACCTGCCGCAACTGTCGCTTTTCAGGTAGCCTAACACTATAATTACTCTTGAAGGACATGAAAAAGCTGGATTTGGTTGAAGAAAAGGGACTAAGGTCCTACTCGACTGTACTTAAGAGAAAATGCAGCTAACAGCAGGCTTCGATGTGGGCTTCGGAGTGTGGTGTACTAGTATCTGGGATCTCGCTGAGCATTGAAGCAAACTATTCCTATCCAGTGAGGGTCCGAAAACGAGACTTCCCCTAAACTCAGGTCGAGTTCAGTAGAAAAAGCAAGCCTTGTTTGACTTGAGCATTGCAAGTGCTGGGCCGGTGGTCCCTTGCTGCTTGAAACAATCATGTCAAAACCCATCATGTAAAACCTCTCCACCCCAAAAAGCCAGGTGCCCACACGTAGCTTAAAGAGCTCTTCCGGACCTTCAGAGGAAAAAAAACAGGTCCGGTCTCAGGTCTCCAGATAAAAATCAGTTCAACACAAGTTTGGAGGGACCGTACTTATGTGTAGCTCTTAAAAACATTATAAAGCTGCAATGAACAGTCTACACGTTATACACATTGAACAATGAACATGAACGACAATCCCTTCCAGCCCCTTTCCATGAAGGAGAATTCCACTCGGTGTCACGGCCAGGCATTGGTGTCTTTGCTACCCACGTCCGAGGTTCACCGAATCTTCCCATCTTCGCCCTATCTCCCGCTGGATCCGCAACCGTCCGTCAAGGGGCATGTTACGCGAGAATCGCTTGTGACACCGCTCCACAAGTCGCACTCCCCCGCAGAAAAAGCTTTTCAGCAGGTGATGCCGACGTTCCACTTTCCTGGTCATTCGGACTGTTTTGAGTATATATCCCATTCGCTGTAACAGTGGATAATGGGTAGGTTGCAGACCTTTCTCTAAAATAGTGATAATCAATCTTTTATCCACTGTAACAGGTAATCGGACACACCCTAAACATATACATTCATATTAAATATGGGGTGTCTATTAAATCGGACCCCTGGTGGGACACACCCGTCCGTTGCTTTGTTGCGATCCAAAACTGGGCCTAAAACCGACGAATCCCGGCAGCGGGATGGATCATAGGGCACCCTGTCTGGGACTCTTTTAGGGACTGGATCGAAAAACAAGAGGAAACCTGGTATAACCAGGTGACGTATTCTTTTTCCAAAGAACGCTGAAGCGAATTCAATGACCATCAACTGGAACTGCGGAAAACAAAAAAAGGAATGAAACATTGGCAAAACCTTGGACCTGGGCCACTCGGTCTGACCGTTGTTCTTTTTTCTGCACTGGTATGCACTGGTGCGAAGCTGTACCGACCGGTAGGAGCCACATGAGGGGTCAAAACAAGTAACTAGGAAAGGCTAATGCCTTTGTTTGAAGTCATAGGAACTTATTGTTCCACCGAAGCATCATGCGTGAAGCATCAAGCGTTCATCATGGATGTTGTTGGGTTGAAAAAAAAAAATATATATATATATATATATGGTTATGACTATGATTTGTCCTTCGAGACGACTTATCCGGCCAAATCCCAGCGGCCAAATCCGATGGACTCCAGATAGCTGCAGGTGCCGCCAAACTCCTTCCGGACGAGTTCGCTTTTCGTCAGGACGGTTCCCAGCAAGAAAGTTTGACAGAGTATTGCACTCCCTGAAATCATGGGCCAGCGTGGATGGCATGGCCAGAAAAAAAACGACTCGGATGACCCTCTTCCGAAGACCAAACGACGGTGGTACCACGACCATCCTCTTCCATGATGATTTCGGGGAGTGTGATTTCATCTCTTACACTCCAAATCGACGCCTGGAGGGTGAAAATGTCTCGAAAACAGAAAACTCACCGGCCATAAGTTCAGCTTTTCAAGAGAAAGAACAGGATAGTTTAGTGAATTTCTGGGTTCTACAATACTATGTATGACATATGTACCCAGAAGTCAAAAAGATCCCAAGAGCGCAAAAAGCTGCATGCAGCCTTTTTCCAATGCGCTTTGGTTGATGCTGGGGTCCTCCCCCAGACCCTGTATCACTTGGTCAGTTTCAAACTGCCCTAGACTTCGCCAGGGGGACAAGGGTGTGTCAGGCAGTAGGATTTGCCCACCGCTGCCAAACACCCGAATGTCCCTGGTCTCCCAGGGCCAATGGGCACCTGTCGAGGTGCCAGGGGACAGGGTCGGGAGGACAACCCACCGGATCCGGTTAGGAAAATCCCGTTGAGGACAGAAGTCTTGTGGCAAAAGGAAAACAAAGAGAGTCTCCGGGGCCGGTAGCCGGCAATCTAAGGAGAACCCTTCAAAGTCAGGATGAGTCAATTCATCCGCCCAGGTGTTGTACTCCCTGGGTACGTGATTTGGAGCAATGCTACAGCCCTCACAATGAAGGAAGAGAACCTATTCCATCAGCAGTGCAGCCGAGTAAGGTTTCTTGGCCGAGAGGTTGAGCAGGCTGAAGATGTTGCCTGAGTTGTCACTGCCAACCGGGAGACGAACTCGTCCCGGAAGTTGGCCCTGTTGGGCAACCAGGTGCTTGCAGAGAAGTAGCGTGCCCAGGAGTTCCAAGGCAGCAATGCGTTTCTGAGGGTTGCCATCCTTGAATGCCCACGGATGGGCGTCTGCTGTGATGGCATAGTGAAACCATAGGACCTTGTCCTTGGTGGGGTTCGGGGAAGCCGAGCACCAGCCCGCAAAATAGGCTTCACCTGTCCTCGATGCACTAGCATCGCAGCATCCCCACCAAGGAGACTTTGGCAAGAAGGGTGAGTACTGTTCAAAGGGGTGCGTGAAGAGCTCCTTCAGGAGAGAAGCCAGCATACGGACCACCTTGGGTGGATGCTCCCGCACCGGGATGAACTGGATTGGCATAGGGACCGATGCCATCGTCGCTCCAGAGGCCCGCGTGAAGCCCGGCAAGGTAGGTGTCTTGGATGTTGGTTCCTCCATGGGCTGTGGAGCCGGCCTCTTGGCTCTGGAGCCTGGTCCTTCGCCGTAGGTGTAGAAGGCGCCGGAGCCGCCGCCATGGCATCTAAAGGGTCTACCGAATACCCTGCCGGTGCAGGGGGCGTGAAACCTAGGCCCGGTCGCTCACTGTTGTCGTCCTCCATCTGCTGAGGTGTTGCGGTGGGCCGTGGCTCCACCAAGACAGGCCAGGCCAACGGCGGTTCCGCCATGGATGTCAGGAGCTCAGGCTGGGCCTCCGCTGCAGAAGGTGTAGTAGAGCTCGAGGTCGGTGCCACTGCTGCCGCAGTCGCAACCCTCTCCGCAGCTGGGCCAGAGGCACCAGGTGCAGCGGGAGGGTTGCCAGCGCCACCATCATCCGGGGTGTCCAGCCCCAGGAGGTCCACGCCCATGTCCGCGTCCTCTCTGTTGGCGATCTGGACCTTGAGTTCCTGCAAGTGTCGCTCCAGTTGGCGAATCTGCTCCTGAGCATCCAGCTCGGAGACCAAGACGGGCTGCCCAAAAACGGCAAGGCCCCGAGCCCCTTCCGCCTCCGCATGACGGAGGGCTGTAGACGCAGCATCTGCTGCCCGGTCCAAACTCTCAATGCCCGGGCTACTGACCGTAGCCGAATCCCCATCGTCTGGTTGGGCGTCTCTGAAAGATTCGATCATCACATACTCCGCTTCCATCGGGTGCGCCATTGCGTCGTGTTCACCAAAAAACCGATGTACTGGGGAGTTTCTTCCAAAGTTCAGGTGCAATCCTGTGGGTGATTGCCACCAACTTGAGCCAAAATGTCCCGGTGGGACATTTTGTGAACTTCAGTGAACATAAAACTTGCATCCGCAAGCTACATGCAATTGTGAATATATATATATATACAGTATATATTGCGATGGAAGAAGGAACCTGGAAGTGCAATCGCATTCTGCGAGTTGGCCTTGTTGTTTCACCATTTAGGCCACAGAGTCAAAGGTGACTTTTCAGCCATCACCATACAGGTTGTCATATGCATGCTGCGTCAGGCCTTTCAGTATTTGATCAAAAATCAAGACATTCAGACATGTCCAGGGGACTTCTCTTCCACATTCGTCAAATCGAATGGACGTGTGCTGCCACAGAGCGCTGTGGTTGGCGCAGTTCCTTGGGTGCAGGATTCTGCACTGCTTTTCATAGCACAAACTGTGTGTAACGGCGCTGGTCGCACGATTGAGTCGTGGCGATCGCCATTCCTTTCTGCCTGATTGTACAGTGCATTGGGGTTCACTGCATGTTTGGATCAGAGAATCCAGCATGCCATTGTCGCGGAGAGACTGTCTGATGAGTGGGTGATATACAGTATATATATGAGTATATATCTGGAATCAAGGCTGGGACACAACGATAAAACATCAGAGGGACTTCTCCCTGGCCATGAGAATTTGGAAGAAAGGATAGCCTGGCCTTCTCTAAGACTTCCTTCATCACATACTCCAGGATGTCTCTGTGAACCTCGGTGGCTTTTTCCGTTTTACACATCTGACTCACGTTTCCAGCCAACAGCCAACATGAACGGTTCCAAGACATGGAAACTCAGAGCTGAACCAGCTCAAACAGCTCAAACGCTTTGACTCAATCTTCAAACGCTCGCGAAGCCATGGAAATCTTCAGAACATGTAATTTGACTTCTGTTCACCAGCTTTTGTTCAAAGGATCTAATGTATGATCTAATCGCTTTCGCAAAGACTGCCACCCTACGGAGGACAGGAGCAACCAAACTGATTTCATTGGCGCACTGTGTCAGTTCAAAGAGGAGCTGCCATCATTTCGATCAACACCCAGCCAGGTCAGTCGCAAAGTCAGCTAGCTGTAGCTAGGGTTGGGAGTGGCCTCCGGTCAGTCGCGCCATCTCAGTTCGGGCTCCCAGTTGAATGGTGAATATAATATATATATATATATATGAATATGGGGTGTTGGGTCTATCCGAGTCTATCCTAGGCCCAATGGATGATGATGCTTAGGTACCAGGCCGACAGTCTAAAAGTAGTGATTTGCTTGTGAAACCGGGTCCTGTTACAGCTAACAGGACAGACCCTAATGATGAATATATGTGAATATGGATACCCCCCGGGGACCGGAGCCATCTCTCCCTCCCCGAAAAAGCACTGAGGCGAAGAGGTGAGACATATGAATGAAGGTTCCCACGGGCGGGTGGTGTCATCCCCCCGAAGCGCACAAGTGCATATCCGGTATCTTGGTGTTTTTCTCTCATTCTATCATAGCCGCCATAGCCGCATAGCCCATCCATCTCAACATAGCACATGTATGCACATGTATGCACATGTGCAGAAGGCCAATGCCATAGAATGTGCGTGAGGCCACTGCCATGGAGCGTTTGATGGCGTCCGGATCGGAGACCACATTCACATCCTCCGGGTCGGTCCGATGAACCATCGGGTCGTTGGAGACACCATCGGGTCGGTTCAGTGCTGAAACCTTTGCAGATCCTTCAACAAGATCCTTTGAAGAAACGTTCTTTTGCCAGGCCTAGAGTGGGAACAGGATGGAACAGGGGCATCAAGAGTGTCTGGGAAGATATGAAGTGTCCCTGTTATTCGAGTTTCCGGCACTCAGGATCTTAGGATCAACTTGGGTGCGTGGTCCAGTCAATGAAAAAGTTCCTAGATTTTTAGGGACACTTAGATTGTTTTCCTTTTTCTCGCCTCAGCAGACCATCTGAGGCCACCCACAGTAGGATCACCTATGATCAGTTGATCCCTGGCTTTTCATGCCAAGTTGATTCCCAGGCCTCATGATCACCCGAAAGACCTTTCTTCAGCGCCAGGAACTCGGGAATTGATGTCTAATTTGCCTAATTCTCCAGGCTTTGGGGGGTGAAACTCTGATATGCTGCACTCTGCTTCTTGACCAATAGAACTCTGCGTCCCTCTTCGAACCCCAACACAAGGCTGAAACAGCCGACGATCGGCGCTGTTTGGAGCCCTGTTTAAGGCCACTTCCACATGGGTGCGTATGACAGAAAGGGGACAAAGGGATCCCCTGGCCCATGAACTGGCCCGGAACGCCTGGAAGATCTCCCCTATTTGAATTCGTACCATCTCCCGGACGTCCTGGGCCCCTTGAAAAAAGACCATTCTCTGAAGACCAAACAGGGGGTGAACTCTACTTCTATGTTTCTTGCAGTGAGAACACACACATGCAACAACCCTCTGTGAACTCTGAAATTCCGATGCTTCACCTGCAGCCTCTACCCTCAGACCAACCGACCCAACGTGTCCTCCCACAAGGGGGTCTCGGCATCGCCTAGGCTGTAGCTCACATGTGCCACACCGTTGGATCATGTCTATCTTGTTTCATGGGTTCTTCGCCGTCTTGGGCAGAGTCCTATTTGTTCAATCAGCCTGGGGGCTGGACTGTCCAGCAGTTGCTGCGCATTGGCGGGCAGTCGATTCCTACGCACGCACGGCCGACCGGGCCGAACGACTCCCGAAGGCTCCGAACCGACTCGTTCCGACACGCGCGAACGGAACGAACTCGACGCATTGGACGCTAGCTGACGAGCCTTGCTGACGCGCCGGACGCTAGCTCATTAGGACGCTAGCTCATAAGGAAAGCAAGGACGCTACGATCGGGTTCCTAGCATCGCTACGAACGGAACAAGAAGCTACGAACGGGGCAGAGCTGGCCTTAGTAGCAAGGACGCTAGCATTACGCTAGCTGATGAGCCTTGCAAGGTCTGATGGACCTTGCAGGAGTGGTCCTGCCCTCTCAGATCAGTAGCTCATCTGAGCCTTTGGTACATCACTACAAAACCCTATTCTGAGTGCCCTCCTTGGTGCAAACCACACTCGAACGAACGAATCCTGCAAAAATGGTCCCCTCGCCCAAACGGTCCAAACGGTCGCCCTGTTCGATCACCCCATCTTCGATCGACCAATGGTCCCCACGAGTTCGTCTGGAGGGCTCGATCGACGACGATTCACGCATGCGATCGGGGGGCCATTGGGCCTTGTTTTCACCACTCCCTCCCAAAGGTGGAGTCCCTGGAAAATCAAGGTTCATCTGGAATCCACCTGCTCGTTCTGAGTGTGGAAACCCAAACCTCGAAAAGGTCCTAGTAGCTTCTAGTTATTAGTTTCAACTTTAATCAAATTTCGACTAATGTATACTAATGTTAATTCTATGTATTTATTGTTTCTAATGGCTTCTTGCTCCTAGTATCGATGCCCTTTGCTCCTAGTAGCGTCCTTTGCTCCTAGTAGTAAGGCCAGGAGCCCCTAGTAGCGTTCTTGTTTCCTCCAAAAAGGTGGGTGGATTCTTTGGAATAAAACCATATTCATGATGGCCCACTTGAAATTTGGGGCGTGCCACATCCACCCCCAGCAGTTACGATATGTTTCTCACGTAAGAAGAAAACCATTACTCATTTCAGAAGCAACATGAAACAACTTCTTCTTAAGCCACCAGCTGCTTCGTTGGTGGCACCATCCACATGACCCACCCACTTCCGCTGCCGGTCCCCCCGGCCTCCGTACCATGAGGTTATATCTCCGCACATCGCGGATGCGCAGCTCCTCACGGCCGACTCGCCAAGTTGGATCTTTTTTGGTGCTGACCACAACAGTGGTTACAGACAAGGCTCACTGGTGGTTAGGCACACTGGCAGTGGTCAGACAAGGCTAACTCTGTTTGTGGGCAAAAAAACGATTTGACTGGCTGGTAGTAGTGATAGACTAAGGCTGTTGGTACCTCCAGTCCTTGAAGCCCCTTTTCGTGAAACAAGGGGGGGCTCCTTCAGACTTCCCAAGGTCCTCTTTCGTCAAGCTTCCGTTTCGTCCGCTGCCGGAAGCAGACGTCGTCCTTTCGTCGCTTCGTCGCTCCGGAGGTCGTCTCCTCGAACCACATGGCCACAGCAATCTGGTTGCAAGCATTGATGTGCTGTGCCGCCTGGCGGCGGACGCTCGGCTCGGCTCGGCCGCTCGAGGACCGCGCGCGGTGTGTGTGTGTGTGTAGCTCGAGGTCTACAGGGGCAGGGAGACCAAGCGTCCGATCGCCAAATGAAGCTACGCACATCAGTGACGGGTGAGAGTTGGGATGGTACAAGACTTGTACCTGCATTCTTCGTTATGTTGAGTAGCAACGTCCCACTAGTAGTTTTCAGGCCGGTGAGGTTTTGGAGGTAGGATCAGCGCAACTTTAGGGCGGTCTGCACTCCGCACACGTCCTTCCACGTCCTTCGATCCATGGACCCGATTGTTCAACGACCTCAACGACAGACGGTTGAACACTGCTGCATGTGTACCTGGCATCTTCAGGGCAGACTGTACGTGCTCCATCCCAAGTGGGTCCCTCGTATGAGCGTCCGGGGTTTTCGCCCACAGAGTGCCCCCTGGTCAACGGGCTGAGCCCCAATGACCATAACAGCCCGCAGCGGGCAAAAGGAGTTTGATGCATACTAAATTTTGAGCAATCTTTATGGATACCAACAGCTCGAGCACTTAACAGCCAGTGGTCGTGACATACTGCACAAATATGGCCATGGCGGCCCAAGTCCACTTGCGGATTCATGTGAACCCAGTATCGCCCTCGGTATTTGACTATATACACAGCACTTTTGCAAAACAAATCGGGCCAGGTGGCCCGAGTTTCGCTAATTTAAATAGGTATTTATGGTCTTTGTCTGGTTTGTCCCAACCACACACCTTCCTGCTTTTCCCTTTGAAATCTTTAAATGTCTGTCCTGCCTTCACGTCCTGTCATGTCATGTCATGTCTTTATGTTTTTCTTTCTTTCTGTCTTTCTTTCTTTGTTTCTTTCTTTCTTTCTTTCGTGCTTTCTTGCTTTCTTTCGTGCTTTCGTGCTTTCGTTCTTTCCTTCCTTCCTTCCTTCCTTCCTTCCTTCCTTCCTTCGGATGCACTTTAGTGCACGTGCACATGTACAGTCACAGTCAAGCTGTCAATGCCCAAGATTTTCTTACGTCGTTAAGGTCTAACTAATCAGTTCTTCTTGCTCATCATCGCCTTCATTGCCTTCTCCGAGCATCGAACCGGCTCTGTCTGTCTGTAGTCGGCCATGCTGCCCATCGTGCTCTGTCGTGTTTGACGAAGCCAAACGTGTTTGCCAAACGTTTGATGGCTTGGTTTGAGGGAAGGCTTACCTCCAAACCACAAGGCTTACCTCCAAAACGAAGAGGTTCCCTGAGTTTCCGACTTTTTCGTCACCCAAAGGTCCCAATTGGTGAACTGCTTGGGCCTCCAAAAGGGGTCCCAGCTACAACAGTCGATGACAAATGTCGCTTCCAGCCGTTTTCTTCGGTGGCTTCATGGCTTCAACCCAACGGAACGTTTAGGTTCCCTCAGAATCAAGGACCCGACCCGCTCGGTGAAGGTTTGGTTCGGGTCCAAGGGCCCCCTGCGTTCAGGGTCAGGTGACCCTTCGGAGGGTCCGTTCTGATTCTGGTTGAACATAAAAGCATCAGTGTAAGGGTCAAACCACCACTCAGTGTAAGGATATGTGAGGACCTTCCAGGAGGTCAACCCTTTCCACACGATCCAAGGGATTCTCGCTCAACACACTATCAATGAGCGGACCCTGGCCGCTAGTTCTTGAGGCAAGAAACGCTCAAGTTTGGTTTTTCCCTTGTTACATGCGGTTTTGTTGCTACCCACGCACATGTCGTGCCCACAAACCAGCATGTCCTGCTGCTTGCTTTTGCCCCGTCGCTGGATGAAGAAAAGACACCATCATCTGGCTGACCGCACACGAACGAACAATGAGTACACTGTACACTAGGCTAATTCATCAGTCTGAGTAGTCTATGGTACGTTTCAGTCCTTCTGGATGTCTGGAAGATTGCATGAAAGACTGTATGCCCGAATACTACCCTCCAGATCTTTTTTAAAAAAAAAAAGTAAGTGCGAAACTCTTGGATGGTCAACGTGTGGCACGACCCTTGAGGGATCTTCTTTGTGTCGCATGCTCTCAGGTTGATTGCCCTCATGCTTCATCCAATGGCTGCATGTTGAAGTGATGACGATGATCACAATGACGAAACAACGAATTTTTCTCCGCCCGTTGTTCGAAGCTGCCTCGTTGGTAAAGAGATAGTCTGCAATGATGTCCTGCAATTTTGGTCAACGAGCAGCTGCCAATGTCGATCGTAGAGCATACTCGGCGGAGACAGTACATTAGGAACCTCATGAGGCTGAACCCATATATTCCAGGCACAGAAGTAGGGTGACATATAACAAGGGTGTTCAAAAATGTGGGTGACACATGTAGACTCTGTGACAAGTGGTCTTGAAATGTTGAATGCATGTTTACCAGGCACCCGAGATTCCTTTCTAAACCTAAACGAACGCTTCGGTTTTTTTCACGTGTGTACATGTCTACTTCACAGATTGCCATCCCAAATCACCGGATCGCACGTCACAACACACGTCACATCATCACGTCATACCACTCCATGCAATACGGGCAATCCAACATGGAGCCCGGTGTGAATCCGACATGGAGCATGGAGGCAATGCATGTCGTGGCCCCAAACTGCCCTCATTCTGCACTCCGTGGATGCCACTCTGCAAACATCATGGTTACATGGATGGCAGGCGCTCTCCTCGTCGTCCACACCCAGAGCGCTCTGCACCAGACATGCCAGCAGACCTGTCGAGCCCGTGGAGCCAGGGCGAAGGAGGATGACCAGCATTCCATGGGAAGTGACCTTTACAGGCCTGGCTAAGTGACCCTTTACAGGCGTGGGGATCAAGGCCAGTCAACGTCACAGAACTGCCTCTGCCGGGCTGGATGGCTGGATTGCTGAGGTCTTCCCAGTAGCCTGTTTGGAGTCTCGAAATGCCCTTTCACAGGCCTGGCGGTGACCTCAAACCAGGCGATCAAGTTCGGTCACGACGGGTCCAACAGCTAGCCCTGCAGTCGCGACGGGGTCGCGAGTCATAGACCCAAGGTAGAATTGTCATGTGGGAGAGATTCAGTATGATTCAGTTGTTTTGGTGTTTGGAAGAAATTTCTTGTTCAGCAATGTTCAGCAACCAAAGTCGCCGTAAAAGTCTGGTTGGAGTTTTCCACTGGCTGCTCCATCCATCGACACAAAGAAAGTCTCTGGGAATTTCCTCTGCAAGCTCCTGATGTCCCATTTGGCCCCTGAGACTTCACCTCAAAAACATTTCCTTAAAAAGAACGTCTAATGTAGATTCTTGATTAATAAACCCCCCATATGAAGAGAACTTCGAATTCAAATGGGAGGGCTTATTGATCAAGAGTCTACATTACCTGACCTGACCTTTTTGTCCCATCTCACAGCTCGATCTTGATCTTCTGACGGTGTCTTCTGACGGCAGGTACAAGTCAGCCCGATCAGGGGCCCAACACTCCATGATGTCCTAAAAGGGAGAAAGGTGGATGCCAGGTACCATAGGTACGTCATATACAGTCCCAAGGCTCCAACCATATCCTCAGAAGGTGGTTAGACCCCCACAGACCCACCCAACCACCTTCTCAGGAGGTGGTTGGAGCCCTCGGGAGTATTTGCATCGGGAAAAAAAACGACAGTAGGTATGCTATCCCTTTGCATCCACCAAGAAGGGGTCGGCCTTCCAGCTCGCCGGGCGCCTGTCCGGTCTTTGCCCGCGATGCATCCAAAGGCCACGGGGTAGTTGCGCTCCTCGAGCGCTGAGCACGCGTGACTCTGAGTGCGCGCCCGAAACGGTCAAAGGGCGCCCTTTTCGGTGCCAGAATTGGGAGTTCGGAGTCCGGCACTCCTGATTTGGTGAAAATAGAACCTCCAATCTAAATGGTGTATATATAATGTACATATTTATAATTTGCATAATATATATATATATGTCTGTAATTATATAATATATATATATATATGTGTGTGTGTGTCTATGCAGAGTCGTCAGGAGTTCTGAGTCTTCTGCATCTTGGGTGGTTTTGTTCGGGGTCTTCTTGTCTTCTCGGCTCGTAGCATACAATCTCTGAATCCAACGGATGCGATCTTCCTAAGCCACGGATAAGCCCTGCGACGATCTCTTCATCCAGCTCGGGTTCTAAAATGAAAAGGACATCACAGCTGCTAGTGGCTGCTAGTCTACTTGAGTTTTTCCTTAAAGTGGTGAGACTCTTTATTATCTCTATTTTAATCAGTGGGGCCAAGTCCAAAAAATGCTCTATTGTTGCTCAGGCTGCACAGGGTACAAGGTTCTCCCTGTTTTGCACCTGCCTCTTTTCTGGAGACCCTAATGGCCCCAATCCATCTGCGGTTCCGGGCATCCGTCAATACCTGCAGGGCCTGGGCGCATGTTGCGCATGTGGCGCATGTGGCGCATGTGGCGCGCTTACGCGGCGCAAGCACGAAGGAACATATCCAGAGAATGATGGTGAGCGGGAATCCAGTGATAAACAGGTGCATGCATCCGCTGGCTGGTGGTCATGTCCGGTGTAGTATCACTCAACGGCCTGTAGCAAGTGCAAACGCGTGACCAACACGTGCCGTATGTAAGCATATGGCTTGAGTGAGATACGAGCAATGACATTGAAGTGACTGGATTCAATGACCCCAACAGCAGACGCAAGGTATCGCAAGATCGGGCATGGTGCTGGGAATGTCTCCTAGCTATATAAATAAAGTCATCCTCTAGCAGCTAAGACTCTACCACTGTGGGCTCTGGAGTGTCCATGTCTCAACCAATAACCTCGCGTGGTATATAGCTAGGCTATATACATACATGTTTGCGGGTCGTCCAACGGCACGCTTGCGTTCAGGTAATCCACCATGTTTTCAGAACTATCGTAGCCATTCCATGGGTGTGTAGATCATCTTTCGTCAGATCACCCAGAGACGGGATCACTGTTCTTTGACTGCTCGGTGAATCACTTCACTTCGAACGTGCGGTTCAATACCGCTCGGTCGACCGGTGCCCGTCGGTCAACCGGTTCGACCCGGTCATTCACGGTTCGCTTCGCACCAGCCGAGCAAGGTCAGGCTGGTCGCCAGACCACCAGACCGTCCAGACCAACCGGCCTAGGTCCAGAAATCCTGCCCCCCTTCGGTGGAAAAAGGACTCTTGCTGTATTCACGGCGATCAGTGAGGTACATGCTAGGGAGACTTTCTTTCAACACTGTGCATGAAACCTCTCACCTGCGGTGCTTCTGATCTGAGTCTGGGTACCAGCAAATGGTTCATCATGGTTCAGTCCATGTGCCAAAAGGACTGCATTTCACATGCAGTGAACGACCGGAAACCACCAGGAACGACCGGAACGACTGGAAATCCGGCGAAGGTCTGGGACCATCAGCCTTCAGAATCTCATCGGAGTTCAGGATCAGCATGGCGCGCATGCTGGTCTTCAGCTGCACCTCTCGCAGCATACCGATGATCCAACGGTTTCAGCCGTGCTGGGAGATGTTGGAGCAAAATCCGTCCAAAAACATGTCATGTTAAAGCTCGAAGTTTACATTCCACACTTGTGGAACCGATCCTGTTCTTTCTTCTTCAATCAAAGCGTCACTTCCGGATAAGATCTCAACTCCGGACATGTGCGGGGTCATACAAGTCTTTGGATTTTCCCACCCCCCAGGCAGTGGTTCCCGCAAGAAAACAGAAAAAAAAGAAACGGCCCAACAGGAAAACAGGTCTGCAGATGGCCTTCAGGTCGTGGAAGCTTTCACTTCTCATCTGTTCTTGAAACCACAAGGCACCTCGTCCAGTCCTCCAGTCCCTGTCTCTCGACGTCACGGAAGACTTCGCCGTCTCCCGTCCGTGGAGTCAGGTGGGGTTGGGAGGGAGATTCAAGGCCTCCAACCTAGCACTACCCTCCAACCTAGCAATGGCCTCCAACCTACAAACACGGGCTCGCGGCCAACGCACACTTGGCTGTGAGTCCAAAACCTGAAGCCTGGAATGAAGCCTGAAGCCTGGTTGATCATGTCTGGTAGTCTGTTCTGTTCATGTTCGCTGGGAAAAACCAGGGTCCCCCGGTTCGCTTGGCAAGTTCGATCTTTCGGGAGAAAAAGGGGACATGTTCCTTCTCACGAATGGACTTGGTCGGTCGAAGGCAGAGAACGGCCATCTGGCTCTCTCTCTCTCTCTCTCTCTGCGAAGACGGTGATGCAAGAGGACAACGCGTTTCCAACAGGACACGGAAATGGCCGCAAGATCTTCAGGCAAATGGCAAGTACTGTGACTGACACGATTGGGACTTCCCACAAGACTTGTTTCCTTTCATGGGCCATGTGAACAATGTGTGCGTGGGAGAGTTCATGAGAGTTCCATGTGTTTGTCTGAAAGCATGGCAACATATGGGAACTCTGTCTGAAGGTAGAAATCTCACCAACGGTGGACAGCGTCAGAAAAGGGAACGATGTCAACGAGCCGGGAACGGAATGTTTAAAAACCAGCACACTCTCCTCGCTCGTCGAAACTCTACAAAATAAAACACAACCTCAACACCTGGCTGTTTGTCTTTGGCTGCTGAAAATCCCAGTAGTGTAGACCGACTGTTGTTTAGTAGAACCACCCCCATTTGGATGGTAGAACCTCGTCATATGGGTGTGTTATTTGCATCAACTGACTACATTAAGTGGGAGACCAAAACCGGAGATCTACTTGGGGGTATGTTCTTGAGACCAACCCAAGTGACTTGTGGTGCTCCACTGATTCCCTCTTCAAAGCCATCGTTCTTTGAACTCGACTTCCGGGAGCTCCAGGCGAAAGAATCATCTGAGTTCGGGCTCCAGGCATTGTGCCTTCTTGTCGTCCGGATCGCGCTCGCCTTCCTGGTGTCCAAAGAGACTTGCGGAAAGAATTTAGCCAGCCTATTATTGCAACGTTGCAATACGTTCAAATACAGTCAGATTTCAGGAAGGCTCTGTGATGTTGTGAGTAACACTAGTAGCGAAGGTGTCAAGTTCTAGAACCGAAACCTGAAATCGTGTGGCATTGCTTCGTAGAGTTGTCCCCCCTTGAGCTCACAAAACATCCCACCTGAGCCAGCTCTTGCAAGGGACGTGGCTGTAGGCCCTGGCCATCCCGCAGCACATCCCGCGCGCCAAGCGGGTCGGACCCACTTGCTGAGTGGTGAGGGGTGGCCATGTTTCTAAGCCCAGGTTCATCTCTACCTCGAAGAAGTTGCTCTGAAGCCGGTGTCAAGGTGTTTCGCATGGCGTTTCTCATGGCTTTTCGCATGGCGAGTGGTGATGTCGTTTTGGGATGAAAAGCAAAGTCGGGCTCACAAAAAAGACACCGTGGTGCAATCTGATACTATGTGCTTCGCTGCAACTACCGGGGGTGAATCTGCTAAAATCGGCGGCTAGCAGCTTGGTGAACAGCCCATGCTATTGACCTGCAGCGTTACAAAAGAGATCTACCAGTCATATGTATAAGCAGTTTGCTCAGGTCTTTTCTCCGGTGGCTTCATTCTGGTCTGCTTTGCAGTTGACACGACCAGGCTAGCCTGCTCCTCAGACTCCTTGTTTGGGACCCATCAGGTCAGGTGATTGGAGTTATTCCCAGGTCTCTCGTCCTCGAAAGCCAGTCCCTGCAGCGATGGAATTGGTGGCACAAAGTGCCGCCATCTGCGATAGAAACGGTGTCATGCTTGTCACCTCTTGTCATTGGCCCCACCAGTCCTCCAAAAATGCTGTTGTTCTTGTTACTTCATATCTTACATGGCCAAAAGAATTACAAGTTACAGAGTTTCTGCAACTGCTGAGCAGTGCACTCAACTCAACTTGTCTTTACACGTTCTGTAACCGAACACTCCTTACACTCCTTCTTGTCTTACAGTGTCCTAAAATCTCTGCAGGTCCCCCCCAAACTATCTCAAACTCCTCCCCAAACTCGCCCCACGAGTACTCACCGTCGGTCGCCCAAAACCCTCGTCGCCCCAAATCATCCCCTCCCTCCCTCCCTCGCTTGGCACCTTGGAAAAAGGGCAGCTCACCCGGCGCCGCTCGCCAGGATCTGAGCGAAGCGCATCGCGCGAGCCGCTCGGCGCGAGCGCGCTGGGTCGACGCCCAACAAAGACCACCCGTTCGGATGGACGGATGGATGAAGCTCCGTCAATGAGTCGCTCCTGCGGATGAAACCGAGGGAACCCTGCAGTTTGGACCCAGCCTCATGAAAGCCTCCAAAAGTGGTGCCTTCGGAGAGTGAATGAGTTCAGCCAAAGGCCTGCATTTGCAGTATTCTCCAGGCTAATGATACCAACTCAAAAGTTGTCAAGTAAGGTTGTCAAGTTTGTGGGAGCCCATCTTTTCAGCGGACCCTCGAAAACGGGTTCCCATGAAGACATCAGCAATGATCATTGAGGTATCGAAGTTGGGAAGGACTCAAGCCTGAGAGTTAGAAGCCGACAATTTTGTGTGTGTGTGTCAAGCCCTGTCTCGAAGGGGTTTTTTTGCAATCAAGTGGTGCCGCAGGGGGCAGCAGGGAATCCACAGTTCTGCTGCCAACGAAGACAGCTGTGGCCATTCCGTGAAGCAGATTGGGACGCCAATCTGTGTACCTGCTGAGTTCTTCATAAGCTGTGACCCCACTTTCCGCGTTTTGTTTCATGGTCTTTCATGATACTTTCCCCCCAAACACTCTACCACTCTCAGCCACTGAGCCGCCGTGAGATGCCGTCGTGAGTTCTGCAGAGACGCATAAACCACTTGTTAAAACATCTTCAACTGCTCCAACCTTTTCACCTTTCGGTTCCATCACCATTTTCCTGGAAATTGAGTTAACTGAAAACCAATGTCGAAGTGTGAGGTGAGCCGCTCAGCCGTCCCACATGGGTGCTGGGTGTGATCCTCCGCAAGGAGGCGCTGTTTACATACCGGAAATTGAGTCACTGAATCATCCTCCTTTCATTGACTGTTCCTCATCGATCTTTCTCTACCCTGAATTCACTGCTCATACAGCCGTCGGGCTCAAAAACGAATTTGCCAGCCGCCGGGCTTAAAAACGGCTTTTTCCCCCCCACCTGAGGCAGGTCTCCCGACCCCCCCCCCACTGCGATCTACTCCCTACCTAATTAGGGTAACAGAGGGAAATGGTACTCGACACACTTGTGTGTCGGCGCCTTTCCCTCTGTTGTCCCTTTTCTAGTCTACTCTACCCGGGCGGTTTAAGACTAAAGTCCCGCTCCCTAACTATTGCACTGTAATTCGTCTCGGCTAAGTAGTCAGTAATCCTAGAGTGCTAGGTATTCATACACACACACGTACACACACATGGACATACAACCCCTCCCTGCCCCCCCTTTTCTTTCTTGCGCTTTCCGTCGTTTGTTGGGCTTTCTCTCATGCTTTTTAGGTGGCTCTTGAGGCTCGTTTCCCTACCCCAGTCAAGGGCTAAGTATTCACTTTTTTCTTTTTTCTACACCTATCTTTCTCTCTTGCCCTCTTAGCGCTGCTCTTTCTGTCTTTCTTTCTTTCGTTTCTAAGGCTTTTTAGGTATCTATTATCTATTATATACTACTATCCAGCACTCCAAGTTAAAAATACGAGGCCTACGTCTCGTAGACCTTCACACTGTACAAATTCAAGTGAAAACCTGGAACATGAAGGCCAGGGGGGCAGGAAAAACCTTCTAGGAAGGGAAAAAACCTGCCACAGTGAAACAAAGTGAAACGAGGCAACGCGAAAAGGGCTGCCATGACAGCGGGTCAGAGGCCCCCAGGGCTAAGGCATAGACTATGCTGTCTCCGCCATTGGTGTCCCCGCATAGTCAGTAAACAGAAGCCAAGGCCCACTGTACTGACGGCCGCCGTGGTGCAAGAGAAAAATGCAATAAAAGGTCGGGGTCCAGGAAGAGGAAAGGCAAGAAGCGAACAGCCACCATCGGCAATTCACGGTTCCAGGAGCAAGCCTGCAACAAGGCCTGAGGCATGTGGTGGCGCCGCGGCACCACGACGCCGACGGCGCAATGCCCGTCCAGCCCCTCGCGCCAGCACGACAGCAAGCTGGTCCAGGAGGCGAGCCTTCACAAGGGTCAGATCAATGCCCTTGACTGTGGCTACCAAGCCAGCCAGGCGGTGTTGATCTTGCACGAATTAATACGTCCAATCTCCAAATACGCGAATTCCAGCAGTGATGATGCATGATGCTTGTCGAATTCTTTGCTGTCCAAATCCGCACTGTACCACCCTTCCACCAAACTAAGCACACGCTTTGCATGGTGTTCCAAAACTGCGTCCGGCGCTTTACCCTTCTCACAATCCAATCTATCAGCCAAGCGGGCCTCAAGATTGGACTTGCCCCCTGTGATGTAGGTAAGCAAATCATAATGTGTTGCATCTGCACCATAAAGTGCCCTGGCACGTGCCTTTTCAAGCTTCTCGCTTCTGCTGAGAAGCGCCACGCCCTTGCACGAACGCTCCCGTTCAAACTGTGCCCAAGGGTACCCCTCAGCACCGCTACGCTTATTGTGGCGAAAGCTCTTGAGTTCAACTTGCAATTTGCAGCTAATTTCAGCCTCAAAGTAACCAGTCCACCAATCACCCAATGCATCAAGCATCCCTTGACTAGGCAAACGGTCAAAAACCAGGTCTGAGTCACTCAAACCTTCCTCATGCAAACTCCAGGTCAGTTGGACCTCTGAAGCAGAACGCTTCTTGAGTTCAGAAACATGCAAAACCTCAGGACAGTGTCCTCGCTTGTGGAGTCGTCCAAGCGCGGCCTTCAGCATCGAATTCCTTTCACCATCAGGCGCTGGTTGCAGATTGCGCGTCCACACAGGTAAATTATCACGCGCCAGTATTGCGTCAAGCTGCTTTTGCAACTTGAGCGAACCTGGTGCGCGGCGTTGCAACAAAGATCGAACATGCCCATGGCTCACCTTTGCCTGCACAGCAACTCCTGCCGGTGGACGAGAACTAGAACCTCCAGCCTCATATCCCAACCAATCACGATAGCCAGCTTCCGGGCTTTGCGTTTGCAGGGGTCTGTCGCCTACCAGCTCGTCGACCAATTTGGTAATCAATTCTCTTGCACGTTTCCCAAAATACTCATTGCTGTACTCACCCGTACAAGGGTCAAAAGCTTCAAGAACAGGTGAGGCTTTGCTCTTCTCCTGCTTCTGTTCGTTCCAGTCAGTGGTCCAGTTGTAATGGCCGACATTCAGTTGAAGATCTGTACCTCCTGCAATGTCCTCAGGCTCAAAAACAATGAAATCACCGCACATCCCAGACTTTTTGAGTACTGGTGACAGTGCTTTGAGCTTCTCCACCACTTGCAGTCTGTTACCCCACATAAGCTTGTGCTTACGAATGAGTTGCAAAACTGGCCATGGCCGAGAAAAAATTACACCAGCATAGACCCAGATAGCTATAGCAGCTGTAGGCAGAATCCCACAACCTGTTGACATGCGACTGGCTGGAACAAGAATGTACGCAGCCTGCGCAGCCAGCTTACGACACCTCGCACAATCAGCTGACACCAGCACCCGACCAACGCCGCCGCTCGTCTTAAACGCGCGCTCAGCCAGCTCACAGCACCAGCACCCAGGCCCACAACACCAGCACCACCGACACCCTTTCGAAAGCGTGCGCAGCCAGCTCATTCTTATTTGCAGCACAAACCCCATTGGGGAATAACAACGTATGATCTTGCGCGTGTAAGTTTATGCGCGCAAACAGCAAAGCCCGTAAGTGTCATTGGCCCAAGGCCAAGCAGTATCCAGCGCCACTATTGACTTTCTAGCCCGCTTGAAGCAACGATCTGCAGAAGGATAAGGCCGTGATCTTGCGCGTACAAGTTTATGCGCACAAAAGTATGCGCACAATCGGCAAAGCCCGCAGGCTTTACTTGCCCAAGGCCAAGAAGTATCCCCGTACACTGCCAGCTCTGTCTCTACCATGCGCACTGCCAGCACCCAGCACCGCGTGCACCCAGCTCACAGCACCCAGCACCAGCACCACAGCCCGCACCAGCACCGGCACCGGCACCCAGCACCGGCACCCTGTTTTCACCGCGCACCATCGCCACGCCGGCAACCTGTCTCGAAAGCGCGCGCAGGTAGCTCATTGTTATTTGAAGTAAGAACCCCATAGCTTCGCTATCTGAACCAAAAAAGATCGCCACATACATGCAAGCTACACCACCAGCACCAGCACCGGCACCCAGCACCAGCACCAGCACCGGCACCCGGCACCAGCACGCAACCTCTCTCCACGTGCACAGCACCAGCACCGGCACCCAGCGCCACGACACCAGCACCAGCAACCTGTCTCCACCACGTGCACAGCCAGCTCACA